TTAAACACGGTCATATATTTTAAAAAATCTTAGTAACATGATAACCTTTTGAACAGATTTGTTTGTAATTTTACAAAAAAGGTGCGTGTTATTTTAAAATTGATGATTTTATTTCAAAATGTTTAAACTGATGCTATGTAACAGATACATATCAAATAATTCAAATAATACCCAAAATAGAGTTTGGAGTATACTCATCATAATAGCCAAGGCCGGGATACCACTCCAATACATTGAGCGTATACAGCGAATGGCTAGGTCTCTGTCCGAGGAACCAATTCATCGACCAAGATGCAGTGAGCCAACTGGAAACCCGAAGAATTCCACATAAATTTGTTTATAGATAAACTGATGACTCGCAGTTGTTGATTTATGGCAAAGACCGTTGATTTTAATGAAACAACTATGGAGGCTTGGACTTAGACAGGATCAGCGATTGAACTGAACTATTGTCTATTGAGTCCATGCGGTCGGACAATTGAAGGTAGAAGAAGAGGCAAGACGGAGATTGAAAGGTGATAAATGAAGGCACGAGAAGAGAGGCAGAGAGCATCGTATTAACGGATGTCTCTCCGCTGACCGCAGGTTCTAGAGTGAAGATGGTTAAATGTGAAGTTTTGGATATAAAGATTTCATATAGTTAGGGGTTCATATTTGGGTTGTGGGTTGGGATATTAAAATGTGTTATTGGGTTAAGTTTATCCCAAAAATATTTTAGAAATTGATAAATCAAAATCCTTTTTTTTGTAAATCTTTCTAATATTACATTAGTAATATTATTGCACTTATATTAATAAATTATGTATGTTTTGTATATTTTTGAAATAGTATCATTAAAATACCTATTTATCTATAATTACACTAATATACTATTGATTGAAAGTATATCTAATTTAAAGGAAAGACAGTGTGGAACTCTGGACATGAAATAAATTCTGATGTTACATCAAAATAAATAGAAGATGTAATTCTGTCACAACGTAATGCATTTGAAGGTGCACTTATTACCATTTTATTTAGTTAATTCACTTATTATTATTTTATTGATCAGGAGTTGTAATGATCAAAAAGTACAGATTCCACGATTAACATTTATTCCTTTTGATGCGAGAATACCATTCAAGTTTGAAAGAAGACAATTTCGATAATAACTTTTTATGCAATGACAATAAACAAAAGCCAGTATTTACTCAAGTCAACTTTATGTTGCAGTGTCAAGAGTTATTATTGATAAATGTTTGAAAATATTAAAATAATCAACAAATTCACAATTCCACTAATGTTGTTTACACTAGATTCTCACCCGTGCGATGTACGGATCGCAATTTAGCATCAATTATATTGTAATCTTAGATAAGGTTATCTGCTGAAATATTTAAAAAAAATCATATGTGTAGATATATTAAAGAATTATTATTTTTGAATGTGTATTAAAGAATAACAGTAAATGTAATATTAATGAAAATTCATATAAGAAGTTATAAACTTATAATTAGGAATGGTCTCATGAAAACTGGTGGAAACAATATTTTAAAAAAAAAAGAATAAATATTTACCCCTATATGTCCCACTAAACTTTGGCACTATTAAATTTTCTTGGTCAATGATGATCCGATTTCATTGATGATATGTAATAATGTTTTTAATACGAAATTAATTCAAAAATGAAAAGTAATCAAAAACATTCTTTGTTAAATGTACTTTTACAAAAGTATAAAATTTATGAGTCCATTTGGTGACCCTATTTAATTAACAACCTTATTAGTCAACTTTTTCACGAAATCACGTAGAGCCTGTTTGGTAACCTCATTTTTCGAAAATCGGTTGATTTGACTGATTCTGTTGAAATTTGTAAAGTTCTGGCTGAAGTGACTGCATTGACTGATTCTGCTGATTTAAGAAAAAAATATTTTTAAAATATATTTTATTAATAAAATAAAGAGAAAAGAATATGTAAAAATAGCTAAAATGGTCATCTACAGTAACTTCAGCCAATATAGCCAAAAAAGTAACTCCAACCTTACTTTTTCTGCTTATTACACAATTCAGCGCGCGAAAGCAAAAGTTACGTGTTTGGTGAAAAGTTGGCTGATAAACATGATAAGGCAAAAAATAGTGTTGCCAAACGGCCTCTTTGTCTTCTTAACTATTTCAAATTGCATATAAAATATTAGATAGATTCTATGGTACCCATAAGGTACTATACCTTTGTCCACATGGACCAATGAGAATGTTGCAGTTGAATTATTTAAATCGAAATAAAAAATGATATAATGATGTGGACCAATCAAGTGAATGATATGTACGATACCCAATTTTTTAAATGAGTACCGGAGTTGTCACCAAAATATTATTATGTAGCTTCGTTCTCTTTTCACACTTTTTTGAATTATAATTTTAGCAGTCTTGAATGTTATTGCATTGATATACTTTTTTATATGATTTGATTATATTGTGTCCCGTGCATCACACGAGTGAAAAGGTGACCTTAGTTTAATTTTCGCCTTATCAAACTTATTAGCCAGACCACTCAAGTAACTTTTGATTTCGCCCGTTGAATTGCGTAATAATAAGAAGAAAAAGTAAGGTCGAAATTATTTTTCTGATTGTATTGACTGAAGTTACTGTAGAAGATCATTTTAGATATTTTTCATACAACTTTTTCTTTATTTTATTAATCTAATTATCTTCCATAAATAATTATAATCTGCCGATCTAGCCACTTCATCCGTAACTTTATAAATTTAAGCAGAATCAGCTGATTCAGCTAATTTCTGTGTTAACAAACGGGCTCACATTTTATTTTTATGATAATATCATGCACTTCCCCTTCTCAAAATAAACTTCAGGATTCTTTTTGTCTATTCTAATATCTATTTTCTTTCTTTTTTTAACAAAGAATAGTGATTCATAACTTTTTTGTTTCATCTACACAACTTTAAACAACAAAATTTCTACCTTTTACTTTGCCAAATCAAAATGAATTAATTATGAGGCGAAGAGAGTAACATTTTAATTTTTATCATTTTATAAAAACTCTTGCTCCATGCATCGCACGAGTGAAAAACTAGTTCCATTTCAAAACGAAGCGTTCAAAAACTCAATGGCGATGAACCCAACTTTAGATCAAACGGTGCGTGCGGCTATTTAGAAAAGGCATATACATTTTCTTAAAACCGTTTCCATATAATTTAATTCCAAAAAATTGAACACCAACACGTGGTGCGCTAATGTACGTACATGTCATTTCTGAAATTAAAACTTAATATTATCATTAGCAATGAGCACAAAAAAGCAATGAATATTCCATAAAAAATAATATTGACAGTAACGTAACTAATATTCCATTAACACCATCTCAATAAAATATCACATTTTTCATATAAAAATGTTTGAGGACCATGCTCAAATACGTCTAGCTTTATTTTCCAATAAATCTCCAACAATATCTTTATTCTTCATTAATCCTTTCATTTCCTTTATTTTCATTCAGTTTAGCTTAAAATTAAATTAGATACATCATACTATGTATGTATTATTGTTTCAACCATATCTAATCAATAAAACTTACTGAATTTTACTTCCCTTCCATACTTTCAATTGCATATCATATCTTAAACTCACACTATCTCACTTTTTGGATTCCAAATTTCCAAACTCTATTGCGGTAGAGAATACGAATTACTTAATATTGGGCATTTCTCACTCATGCACAACACGCGTCCAAAAACTAGTTATATAGATAGATAGACTCAACACATCCTTCATTGGTGTGCACATATTTAATTGATTTATTATATTAAATCATTTCATGAAATAGATAACAAGTTAACAACAATAATCAATCATTACATAATAGGGGTGAGCACGGGACGGTACGGGACAATTATTTCGAAAAACATGTCCCGTCCCAAAGTACGATTCTTTTAAAAATCAAGAACCGGTACCGTCCCGCGTCTATGTAGAACATGTCCCGTTCCGTACCAATTTTCGGTACGGTCCGGTATGGTTCTTAAATAACTAAATAACCCCCATGAAATATAAAAAACTTTAGATTTTAACATTTATAAATAACTCTACAAAAATTGAAGAGAAGAACTTGCAAGATTATATTAAACTGATATTGTGTGATCAAATTGAAATATGAAACTAATAATCAAACTATATTAAAGAAAAGTAACATCCAAACTAAAATGTAAAAGTGACCGTCAAACTGAAAAATAAAAAAGTATCACATCACATGACAAAAACAATCAACTTAATAATCCATATTTGAGCTAGACTAAATCTGCCAGAATTCTAGGCAATGACATCAGCCATCAGGACCTCGGGGCGATTTCTGTCAACGGTCAATATTAAGCCTTGGCATCAGGGCCTCAACAACTTCAGCATCTTGGGCCCAAAGAAGATGTAAGAGTAATATACGGACAATTATACTTGGTATATAATATATTATACATATTATTATATTATATATAATACTCCGTATATTATTATATTATAACACTAGTTTTCAGGACAATTCGGGACGATACGAGACAGTTCGGTTCGGTACGGTTCCAGGACGGTTTCGGTACGGTTTTCACTAAGAACCGGTACCGTACCATATTATTAAAAAAGCTCGGTACGGTACGGTATTACATATTTCCGGTTCTATCGGTTCTGGAATGGTTCAGGACGATTCTTCGGTACGGAACAGGAATTCCCAGATCCGTGCTCAACCCTATTACATAATGAAGTTCGTCTAGGAGACTAGGATGACTCGATGGATACCCGAACCTAATCGCTCTGGTATATCAAAATGGAGAAAATCGCATTAACCGGATAATGAGTACAGAGCGAGGAATAATAATTTTGTTTTTACATTTAACATGACATTTACGATTTTATACATGTCCGCACCATTATCCGCCCCATGAGCTAGGAAGCATCATGTGTTGGTTGGCTGCTGAAAATAAATAATACAGAGTACCCTGAATATTGTTTATATTCAGTATTGACTCCTATGTCTCCAGTCCAGCCTCCCTAACACACGTTCCAGACTTCCTATTCCGCCCGACCTGCCTATCTGCGAAGCGGAACTGCAGAAGCGAGTCAAGCGACGAAGACACGAAGCCCTCCAGCTGCCCAGCCGACCTACGCTGCCTCCCGCCGTCGAGGGTCCTGCGTCGACCGTCGTACATTGGCTTGCCTCGGGACTCCAACTTCAAGCTCTCTGCCTCTCTCCGACTGACCAGGGCCGGCCCAAAGGGAGTGTGGGCAGCCCAAACGCACATGACCCGAAAAGTCTGAGGGCCCAAAAAAATAGTACTCCCTCCATCCTACTGGATTTTGACAACTTTCCTTTTTCGTTTGTTCCAAAAAAATTTGTCACTTTCCTTTTAAAGCAATGTTTTTGGAGCTCTGTTCATTTCTCTCTCCTCTGCACAAACCTCAATAACACAAATTTTACTACGTAGTATGAAATTTTATCAATTCAGGACTCGAAAGATAGATGAATTATCAATCCGGGACTTGAAAGATGAAATGTATCGATATAAGACCCGAATGATGGAAAACTATCAATTTAGGACTTGAATGATTGGAAATTATCAATTTATGACCTAAGTTGTCCGAAATTTTATTAATTTTTTTATCTTAATTTTTTTTAATATTATTTAGTTTTATGAAACTAATAAACTTTTGTGAAGAAAAGTTTATCAAAAATTAGCAATGGAATTAATAAAAAATCAAATAAATCAAAACCTATGAAATTTTAGGTCCTCAATTGATAATTTTTCATCATTCGAGTCGATAGATTTCATCTTTGAAGTCCCAAATTAATAATTCATCTATCTTTCGGGTCCTGAATTAATAAAATTCCTTACGGACTATTCTAATGTCAACTTGGCAAAGTTAATATTACTAATAGTCTACTGCTCTCTATTAGTTAGCCCATTTAGTTAGCCCAATCACAAAATCAAAACAAAGGTACGGGAGTGAAGGAGGGCTGAAGGCGTGAATCCAAGCTGCGAAGGGGAGAGGCCAACTGCGAAACGACGAAGTGCGAAGGCCGAAGGGGCAAAAGGCGTAGCAGCGGTGCATCCTACGGCGGTGCGTGAACTCCGCTCCAGCCTCCAGTTCTTCACTCTTGAGTTCTTGTCTTCTTCAGTTGAATTTCTTCACTTCTGCAAATCTCCGATCGGTGACTCCACTAGACCACTACTCCAGTCTCCAGGTAAATCTTTCACTTCTCATCAACTAATAAGTAATAAACTGATAATTTATTAATGTTTTATCTCATATTCTTTTGCATTTTTATTTTGGATCATTTGTTAATTAACTAATTAGTTATCTGTAAATACTACTTATATGATTGAGGCCGGCCTGGCCATGGGATTAATTATTAAGTCTGGATAATTTGTGATTGAGTTTACCGAGTAATCAAATTCATATTATTTGGTTATTCTTTTGTTAATTTTCTTTAACAAAATGATATAATTATATTACTGGATTGCTGCTTTTGCAATTGTTTACACTATAATACATTAATAAATTTTATTGAAAGAAATTTAGTATTTAGGGTTTACAGCTTATACTCCTTAAATACGCTCGAAGAATGTCTGATTATAAATGAAGTGCATTCTGTAGACTAATACTCTTATAAAGACTATTATTATCTTTACTTGTATTAAATTTGTACTTGTGTTAGAAAAAAGCTCCATTTTTTTAATTTTGCACCGGGCCTTCATATTCTCAGGATCGGCTCTGCGACTGACCGCCTCTGGCCTTCCAGGAGTCTAGCAGGTATACTCTTTTAATCCCTTATTTTGTCTATTACTTTTTTAGTTTTGTAATTCTATTTGATGATTATTTGAATTTTTACTAGGTAATAAAATAGTGTGTATTCATTATAATGATTAAAGACATTATCAATTTAGTACAGGTCTTAATTCTATTAATTTAAAATGTACTCCATTCATAATTGTAGTCCTTTTAATTGTAATGCATCACAATTTCATATACAATTGCTGATTAGAGAATGATTTATAATTTATTTATTGTTTGGGCATGTAAGAAAGAATTAAAATTTTAAATTCAATTTTGATATTGAGAATGTTTATTAGTTTTATGTACAACGATTATTATTACTGATTAGTTTTATACTTTGAATCTTTGATAGAAGTATTTTAATTCAAATTTCGTCACCAATATTTAAAATGTTTTTTAGAATAGATAATGAACATATTGCCAGGAAAAGACAAAAGTTGATTTAGTCATTCTTTACAAAATTGGATTGTCAAACCTGTCAACGTAGTTCTGAACATATACCTAAAATATAACTAAAATATACTGAACACAAATTTCGAACATAGATAATGAACAAATTGGATTGTCAAACCTGTCAACGTAGTTCTGAACATATACCTAAAAATTAACTAAAATATGCTGAACACAAAATATACTGAACATATAAATTTTGAGTAAGATCTACAAATTGAGGTTCCTCCTCAATCCTAAAAGTTCACTAAAATAATTGATAGCTATTTATAACTAAAATATGCATCTGGATTATAATGTGAATTATAATAAGTTTTTTGAAATTGAATATGGTTTTTAAAAAGCAAAACAAAATCAGAACTTATATTCTATAGCCCAAATGCATTTAAGCCTAAATTTTATTGAATCCCTTATGTGTATGCTCACATGTTTTTTGTGGAATGTATTGAAGTCAGGCACTTTAAATTTGACACGGCATGTATCCTAAATTTTGTTCAAAGGCAGTTTTGTTGATGTTACTTGCTAATAGAACATATGAAAGCAAACAGCTAAACAGTTTTTTTATGCTAAAACGTGTTTTGTTTGTAAACTCATACTCCGTATTACTTAGTTGTGGTGGCCTAAATATTGAAAATAGAGTTTCACATTTGAACTTACTTATGATACGTATTGGAATGAGTAATCTGAAAGAGGCTTCATCCTAGAATAACTTCTAACTTATTCTAAATTGCATAAGAACGTTTGAAGTGTAATCTGCATTGGTAGGAAATTTGGTAAGTAATTGTCTTTTTTAAAAGGAAAAATAATAGATTTAAATTCTCTGTACCGATTATATTGGTGGTTTAGTAACATAAACTCAAGTTTGCTTTGAACAGAAATACATTTTAAACTAAAACATGCATTGTTAGTTTGTTACCTATTATGTGGTATGTAGTGTTAGTAATTTACTTGCATGTGATTTGAATATGAAAATTGTTTCATTATAAAACACACTAAAACTTTGTGAGCCTCCTCATATTTACACTGTACTGAATTAGAATTCCCTGTTGCTTTCCTGTGATTCTGGCCCTCGACCACAGGGTCTTCAGATTCCCTGCCAGCCACCTCAGTGACCTTTGAAACATCGCGATCTGGCAGCCCGCTGGCCAGAACACCTTTAATCCTACACAAGGCCAATTTGTTTCTAAGTGTTATTATTATGATTACTATAATACGAAGTATATGTCCACCATACTTGTCACGGCGGTAAGTCGAGTCGCGGCGCCAGCTGACCGCCATATCGCCTAGGCGACAAGGCGCCTGCCTAGGCGACAATTAGGCGACTAGTCACCTATATGTGTATATTATATATTTATATTATATATTATATATATAATTATATATTTACATATGTAATTATATATTTAATTATATATTATGTATAATATATTACTAACTAAAATGTATACATAACTTAGAATTGAAATCCACAATTAATAATTAAAACAACTAAGTAATATTGAAAATATTAATTTTTGTAAAAGGAAATAATGTTAAATAATAACATTTTTTCTAAAAATTTGAATATTAAATAGTAAATAATGAACTAATGTCTTATTTCAAAAATAAACAATGACTCACCAAGTAGCAACTCATTAGTCATTATGAGAAATCGAGAAGCTACTGAGTTGGTTTTTATGAGTGCAAAAGTTGAGTGCTCCATCAAATAGACTAATTTTTAGATATTGAAAATTTGAAACTATGAGATGAGAAATCGAGAAGAGAGCTGAACGCCTGAACCTGGGAAGTCGTCTGCTTCAGCGAGGGACAAGGCAGAGAGGGCGATCTGCGAGACCTCTTCTTCCTGGAGTTCTGGGAAGTCGTCTGCTTCAATGCTTCGTACTTCATAAGTTTATTAATTAAGGAATAACGAGTAGATTATTTTGGGGATTTGGAGCCTGGGCTTTATAGTTAATTAGTTTCCAAAAATTAGTTTCCTAAAATCTATTTTATTTCACATTTGGGATTCTGGGCCTCTGGGGATCTGGGCTTGCGATCGACTTAAGATACTAATGATATTGAATTTGTATGATGGTAGATGCCTGAACACATTTATAAATGATAACTTATCATATTCTGTTCATTGTAATGATGTTTACTTCTCTTTTTTAGGTAATAATATATATATATATATATATATATTAATTTATATTTCCTTATGATTTGTATTAAACTTAATTAGGCCTACTTGACAGCCCTGGTAAGTAAAACATTATATACCAGGCCGTCTTTACAAAATCAAAATATTGATTATTTCTCTAACCTGTGATAAAGCACTTTTCAAAATGTGTTTTTTTAAGAAAAATATTTTTGAACTCATTTGGTTTTGCTAATAAAGAAGATTAGGTAGGTATGACTTGTTTTCAGTCTAGCAGTTACCATTCATTAAGTACTAAGAAATTTGGGCCAACATACACTCCATGCTCTTTTAATTTTGACTCGTTGAAACCCAGTTGCAGCCTCTTGATTGCCGCATTAGTCTGCCGTCCCTGTCAATTACAATGAATGTCAACTATTAGTGAACAACTGAACACTAACTAAATGCAACTTTGAACCAAATTTGATTTTATTTAACAAAATGTCAAGATCACATATTATACCTCTTTGTCGAGGAGAACATCCTCTGGAGTCTCCCCACTACTGGAATGAGCAGGAACTTCAGAAGCCCTCCTGACCCTTTGTCTCGAAGAACAGTTGGATTTAGGGCCATTCCTAAATTCTTATGTGAGGTTGAATTGTGTTGAACTGAACTGTGACATATATATACCAGTATACCACAGTGGATTCTGTGCGGCTTTGCTAATGTGTGAGTAAATAACCCAATCAACCCAGTGGATCTTAACATGCACTCTATTGAAGCACATAACATTAAATTTGAAAGGGACCACACAATGAAAATTTATACTCCGTACCAAACATTTTTTTTTTATTTCAAAATATCTTTGAAAGTTTTGTGTTAATTGAGAAATCCAGTTGAATTAATTCCTGGGTTATATTTTTTATGTGTAACTCGCAACCTACGCTATATACAGTACAATGCAGTCCAATCTGTAGTATTAAGCATTAAAATGTGCATTTATTTCTGTTATGCAGAACTTTTCCTTTTACCTGACCCGACCCATATTTAATATGGTGTTTTGGGCAGGAGAATTGCCTAAAAATCCACCTCCTTTTATATATAGATAGAGTATGTAGTAATAGATAGATAATAATTAAATCTTAGGGTTCTTTATCTTCAAACATCGCAGCTCCTTCATGGCGGCAACAATCAGATCTCTCCGGCTCCATTATAAACGGAACCAAGCCATTTTTCTCCTGGATTCTTCTTTTTCTAGTTCGGATCAACCTCAGCCTAAATTAGACTACTTGATGGATATCCAAAAGAAACTAGCAAATTTGCCAATCCGGAGTGCTCCTCCGACGCCGCATTCTCCCCCTTCACCTTCATCTACGAACGTGACATTTCAGGGCATGTACAATCGAAGTTTTGTCTCCCAGGAGAAAGAATCCAAGCCTGATGCCTCAAAGCCCGCCACCGTCAAGACGCCTTTTGGGGCTATCAGTAAGTGTTTGGCTCAGCTCGAGCAAAGTAACCGGGGTGCTGCTCCGGGGAAAAACGGTTTTCCGCGTTCACTTCCTAACTTGAGGTTGAGGTCTGGTGGTATGAGCATACAAGAACAGGATACAAAGGGCGGGAATAACGTAGGACATGTGAAAAGTTCATTTGAACTTGGGTATAGTCACAATGAGCTGGGTGAGAAGCTGAGATTATTGAGGCCGGATCATGGGGGAAAGAAAAATTGGTTTTCGTTTCAAGAATTGAATGATAGATTGCTCAAGGTTAAGGAGATTGCCGATAAAGAGTATGAGGCTAAACAGGGTCAAGGTTTTGCAGATATGAGAAGAGCTATCAAGTCAATATCAAACTCTCCTAATGATGCTAACAAGCAGACTAGTAAGTTCCAAAATTGATCTTTAACTATATGTGTTCTTGCATAATTGCATTATTACTTTGGTTCTCAATATTCAATGCTGCAGTCATTGGAACTAATGCTCAATGACCGATCTTTGGCTAAAATATGACATTGCTGTTCTTTGAAAATATGATTGCAAGGAAAAACTAATCAGTCCCTAGCTTTCCTTGGGAGTATGGGATTTTAAATTATTCAGATGTATTTTGAAATAGCATAAAGTACTTTTTTTGGCAAAATATTCGTTCTCTTGAAATTTCCATCCTAATGAGAATGGCAGTGGAACCCTCTTTTTATATAGAACCACATACAAGATTTTTTTTTGTTTGCAAAATATGTTCTCTACTACTAATGGTTTTTTTGTCTTCCTTATATTGGTTCACACAGTTCAGACTTTGAATTTGTTTGGCTTACATGGAGAAAGGTTTGAGCACTTATCAAGTCCTCCCAAGGAGCACTTACTTGAGAAGGTGAGTTTTTATGTGTTTTCCTTAACTAATAGTTTATCTCGCCCTCCCAAGGAGCACTTAGCTGAGAACGTGACTGACCAAATTTATTAAAAATGAAGATCATACCATATAATATGAGTATCCATGTAATTGTATCCTGTAACTTGTTCATTTGTGTTCCCGTTATTGCTTCTGTCGTGACTTCTGTTGTTCTCATGACAAGTTTAAAGAATTTTTACTCTTATAGATGAAGTATTAATTTTGTGTCATTATTTTGCAGTATTTTGATCCAGCTCTCATGTCATCTGCAGAGAAAATGAAGTTGGAGCTAAAAAAAGTCAGAGATGAATTCAAATTGACAGAGTCTGATTGTGGTTCTGCTCGTGTTCAGGGTAAATGTTTCTGAATTCTGGTTTTTGTTAACTCTCATCGCAGGATTGTTTTGTGTTTAGTTTTATCTCATTCTATTCCTTGTATATTTGTAGACTGTAGAGGCTTTTTCCTATTCCTTCTCCTCCACTAGTTAAATGCTAAAGCTCAAGTGTTTTTAAAGTATTTTGTTGGTCCTACACCAAGATGCTGTTTCGCTCTCGACAAGGAATTTACTCGCAGCTGTGCCCTTACGACCAAATAATTTATTTTTCATTTCTTATGCAGTTGCTCAACTTACAACCAAAATCAAACACCTGTCAGGTGTTCTTCATAAGAAGGTAAGTTATATCTTGACAAGTAATCATATCCGTTATTACATTGTTTCATAGATGGAATGATGCTGAGTTGTTAATTACTACAGAGTAGCAAAGATAAATAAATAAAATAAAATTCTTAAAGGCTAGGTTACCTGTGAAGAGACTTGCGTTTACACAATGCCTTTTATAAAATAAATTTATAAGAATGAATTTGTATGATTTTATTTTCAAGAATGAGTCTGGACATTAAATGGCTAGCTATTCTTAATCATGCACTCCTTGTTATATAAGGAACTCTAGTAGGATCTTCTCAACCACACACTCCTTGCTATATTGCTGACCATTATGGAACTTATTGAATTGGATTTGGTTTTCTCTAGTCCTTGGTTCAGTGCATTTGGTTTCTTTACAAAAAATCCAATGTTATGTAGGACAAACATTCTCGAAAGGGTCTTGAAGCGATGGTCAAGAAGAGGACAAAGATGATGAAGTATCTCCGAAGGACTGATTGGGACTCGTACTGCATGGTGCTATCTAAGCTTGGTCTTCCTGAGAAAGAGTACTACAAGAGCTAAACCGGCATATGGTCAAATGCATGTAACGTTTGGAGATATGCACTTTTCTGCTGATTCTCTATGTTGCTACTTTTCACATTCCCTCCCTCTAATGGCGCCATAATTACTTCTGTGCTAGTAGTGTATAAATGCATTTGCTGCATAATTACATTAGAAGTACACATTATGAGTTTGTCATGTATCTCCCCGTTACAAGTTTTTTTAACTGAAAATAAAGTTGTGCTGTTTCATTAGCTAGAGTTTCCATGTTTGGATCCTGGAAAATGTTACGGGCGAGACATCAAATGCAGGGCAATCAATTTTGTTAGGTTTTGTTTTACCTCGAAACATTCAAAGCAACATAAGTTTTCTCCGATAAGTTTTCCCCCTATATAAATCTCTAGGGCTCGATATTAGTTTTCTCCGACCCATGACCCATCCCTAGTAATTGTCTATTTGTCTCCTCAACGTTACGGGGAAGACATCAAATCCAGGACAATCATTTTTGTTAGGTTTTGTATTACCTTTGAAAATTCAAAGCAACATAAGTTTGGTCCGATCAAGTGCAGGCCTTCCCCCCTATATAAAACTCTACAACTTAATATTAGTTTTCTCTAGGGGTTAGTCAAATAACCGACTGATAATTGAATAACCGACCAAATTTTTTCACTCTAATAACTGACCGAAACCAACCGATAACATCACAATAATCGACCGAAAAATCGTAGTTCGGTTTCGGTTGGTAACCGAATAACTGACAATAACCAACCATATAAATTTTTCAAGCATATATGAAATAATTGATCGTATTTCTCCATTCACGAAACAAATAAGAAGGAATGAATTAAACTATCTCATAATAATAATATTTTTCTTACGCTACTGGTAGTTGTTCTTGTGCATGAGTGTCATTTTATCTCTTTTGGGTCAACTACTAAATACTAAATACATGAGATTTATTAAAATATGAGAGCTTTCCTTAAATATCACTACATACTAAAGTGAACTAAAATATGACAAAAGTTAACGTGAGTATACCATTCTTGATTACTACTCCTATAATATAAAATTGAACATTATCATGCACATTAAGATTACAATTATAGTCATATATTAAAGTATGAAGACATATTTGTATCCACAATATTTATTTTGGTCATATATCTGACATTATTTCTTAGAGTAATTATGATATGTTATTAAGGTATTGATGATCTTATTATATCAAAGTGTGGCAAATCGAGACTTCGTGAGAAGGATTCAAACAACAGAAGTTAAAGAGGCTATGAGAAAAATGGGGCGGAAGAAAGCAGTGGGCCTAGATGACATATTGATCGAGGCTTGGAGAAGTTTGGGAGAGAAAGACATTGAGTGGCTAACACGTTTCTTCAACATCATTTGGAGAAACAACAAAATGCAGTGAGTTGGCGGAAGAGTACTCTCATTTCCCTATTTAAAAATAAGGGTGATGTACAAGAATGTGTCAACTATCGAGGACTTAAGCTTATGAGTCACACCATGAAACTCTAGGAGCGAGTGGTTGAGCAAAGACTTCACAAAAGTGTGAAAATTTCGAAGAACAGTTAGGTTTTATGTCCGGACGCTCAACAATTGAGGCCAATCACCTTCTTAAACAAGTTATAGAGAAGTATAGATACACTAAAAATTATCTGCATTTTGTATTCATTGATGGGCTTTGGTGGGCTTTAACTAGAAAAGGCATATCACGTAAGTATATAAGTATCATGATGAATATGTATGATGCTTGTAATACAAGTGTCCGCACTAGTGTAGGGAGGACCACATAGTTCCCTATTACTATCAGAGTGCACCAAGTATCTGCTCTGAGTCCTTTCTTATTTGCTATAGTCACGAATGAACTTACGAAAACAATTCAAGAAGATATACCACGGTGCATGATCTTTGCCGATGATATTGTATTGATTGATGAGATGCAATCTGGTGTTAAAGCAAAGTTGGAAGTATGGCGACAAACATTGGAGACCAAGGGTTTCAAACTGAGCCGAAGCAAGACTGAGTATATGGAGTGCAAGTTTGGTGGAGGTAAAAGTAGTAGCAATACTGGGATTACTCTTGATGGTAAGGAGATACCGGTGTGTGATATGTTCCGTTACTTCGGCTCCATAATTCACAAGGATGATGAATTGAATGGAGATGTATGCCATAGAATCAAAGCTGGATGGATGAAATGGAAGAGTGCATCAGGATTTCTATGCGATCAAGGTATGCTGACTAGACTGAAAGGTAAATTTTATCGAACAACAAGTTGGCTTGCATTAATGTATGGTGTAGAGTGTTGGGCGGTGAAGCAATGCCACATTCAAAAGATGAATGTGACAAAGATGTGTATGTTGCGTTGGATGTGTGGACATACTAGAAAAGACCGCTTGAGGAATGAGATAATCAAACAAAATGTGGGAGTAGCACCTATAGAAGATAAGATGTAGGAGTCTCGTTTGTGATGGTTTGGGCATGTGCGACTTGAGGGTGGGGAGAAGAGGCAGAGAAGAGAGGGAGAGGAAGACCCAAACAGACTTGGATTAGAGGAATCAGAACTGATATGCGTCTTCTTGGGTTGGAGGAGAATATGGCTTTGGAGAGAGCAAAGTGGAGGGCGCACATCCGTGTGGACGATTGATGTCTTTTCTACCTTTCCTCTCTCTTCTCTTTTATCGTTTATTTTCTTTATCTTTTTATATTCTAATGTTATTTCTATCTTCTAGCTTTTCTATGTTCTTTTATCTTTCTATCTTTTATCTTTCTTATATTCTTATGTTATTGTTATATTATATTTATTTCTCTATTTTATCTGTTTTATCTTACTTTTTTCCCTTCTTGTCCGTCTTCCCTGTTTGACATCGATATCATAGATCGATTCATGTTAGCTGACCCCGAATTCTTTTGGGATTAAGGCTTGGATGTTGTTGTTGTTGTATTAAGTGAAACTCCATAGCATACATGAAGTACATACGAATGTTTATAAGGAGTACTATATTTCGGTTTTCAGTTAACCGACCGATAACCAATTAAAGTAACCGAACGTTAACTGAATAACTGAATAACCGCCTTCTTTTAATATGTAATAACCGATGACCGACCAATAACCGACTTTTTCCGTCGATTCAGGTATCGATTTTTGATTTTATCGGTTTTATCAGTTATTTGCTCACTCCTAGTTTTCTCTGATCAATCTCTAGTGATTGTCTCCGTAATCACTAGCCATTATGTTTTTCTCTCTGTTTTGCCTCATATTATTCAATATTCAGTTGTAAGGATGACACTCTATCTCCATGGACCCTCAGAATTAACCGGACAATTATTAGAGAGGATGTAAGTTTAGTTTTGATCATACTTATGAAAAGAGAGTTGAGTTTCATATCAAGTCATTGCTTGGAGTGAAATTTAGGACCTCTTCTTATGAGGTGAGCTACGCCCCCGGTTCAATATTCAGTTGTCCTAGGCATATAGAAACCATGCCTATCCATCGTAAAGTTGGCGATATAACTCTACTATTGGAGAAGTTTTGCGAAAAAATACTGGACATTAAGATATGATAGTAATAGAAGCTCAAGATCTCTCATTCTTTTTCATCTTTTAAAAGAGAAAATTAAAGGTGACTTATTCAAAATCCCAATTAGGACCTAATTTTCACTCCTTCCCAATTACACACTTTTACAATGTGGCACAAAATCTTGTATTAATTTAATGTGTGGTCTAGTTCGCATTTTGTTTCAAGTTGCTTTAGGCATGTACCAAATGAAAATGTTGAGAAATAAATCCTAAGCCAATTCCAGCCCTCTTTTTAACCTTTCAGAATTAGATTATTTGGGTTTAGGAACGGTAAAAAAGGTGTTTTAAACAAAAAGGAAAAACACAAATAAGAGTAAAATTTGCGGACATTAAATACTTGGGAATGTGGGATACTTAGGAAATGACTATGGAACAAGAAATAAATAGTTAACGCCGGAAAAGGAAAATAATTCTGAGGATGTTTTTACTTGGACTGAGATTTTCTGGTCTGAATTAGTCTAATAAATGTCTGGTCTCTTTGTATGTTATGACTATCCAAGTCCGGTCTGATATGAAAACGGTCCAAGTAAAAACGTGAACCCAATGATACCTCATCAGTGTGTGATCGAGTGTTGTCTTTTCTGAAACCTCATAGCTACTATTGGCATAGTGTCATCTTAACAATTGGGCAAAATAATATAGAGCAAAACGTATTTGTGACCACAAATAGGAATGAATCTTGTGATGGCAAGTTAATCATATATTCATATCTAACAATGAATCTTAGATTGAATCGTAACTAACATAGAACAAGCATAAATCCAAACAATTAAACCTATTAAAGCACATAAAGTACAACTGGAAAATCCATAGTCAGCAGAACGATTCATAGCTTTTTCCCAGCATAGAGGACACCAAAATCCAGACTCCGGCCAGGCCCCTCATTCTCTCTAGTCTCACACACCGATACCATTAAAGACCATAAGTTCAGAAGAGCAAAAATTAGCCAACACAATAATAGTTCAACATGCCTAACAAAAAACAAGAAAAAATCCAAACAATAAAAGTACTGAATGTACAACTTAAACACACATAACCAACCACCAGAACCGGTTCAAAGTGCCTTCCAGTGTAGAGCCACTGACACCCAGATTCATTCCCAGTCAACGATTGGAGGACACAAGGTCCCAGTCCCATGACCGAGTCAAGGCAGACCAGTTTTTTAGCACCAGCACTAAGCCTCACTTTTTGGGACTGGGACCGGCCGCTCTGATGCTGGTCCTTTTTTGGATTACAACCATCATGAAACAACTTAAAAGGAATGGTGGTCCATCTAAAAGCTCAAAAAAGGTGGATAAAGAAGGTGGGGAGAGGGTGTTGAGGGAATGAATAGATGGTTTATTACAGAAATATAAAAATAAATAAATAAATAAATAAATAAAGCGAGGTTGATGGGTGAACCACCATCAGAAATACATGTCCTAGTCACAAACCTCACAATTTTTTATGGCCGGCTAATCTAGGACCAGAACCAGAACCAAACCGTGTCCAAGACTACAATCAACCATGCAATTATTCTAAACTCCCGCTTTGGACCCCTTATTACAGCTAACCTAACCCCTCCCAAATCATTCGAAACCATGAAATATTGATTCGGCAAAATTCTTCCCTGACCGTGGAGTAATGCCGCCCTGTACAACCAATTTCAGGCTTACTCAACGGCCAAGGCAGTCTACTCTCAGATGATCTGCCTTCTGCCTTTTCTGGCCTTGCGAGTTCCTTTTCTGGATTTATCCAACATAAATCCTAAAATCGCCAGAGTTTTTCCAAGTCATGAGCCGCCATGCCATTCCAAAAGCACCAGCCGCATAAGGTAACCAATCGCTATTTGTTGGGAAAGGAAAATTAACTATTCATGTGTAATTTATTTATACAAGACTTTTGGATAAAGTGTTAATCATCATCATTACTCCAGAGTCAGATGTACACAGCCTTAGCCTTACAAGACTGTTTCCAAATGACTTATAGTGCAAATCACGTCGAAAATTGCATAGACTGACTACTAATTCATAATAAAGAAGCACAAACAGTTTACTGAACCATTTTGCTTTGTTTCATCATAAATCCAAACAAAAAAATAATGACTCTTTTGATAAAATGTTAATGTGTAATCCAAAAAAACAGAACCATAATAAACAAACAAACCAAACAAAAGCAAAACATTGCAACTACAACAACAAATCACGAACTAGACATCCATGCTGCAAGAAGATCCTTTTCAACGTTTCCGTCAGGTCAGAAGGAGATGTTACTCTTCTAAGTGTCTGACAAGACAAGATAATCCGTTCGACAGCTCTGACATCAACATAGTCACACCTGCCCAAATCAATTTCGCGCAATCTTTCACACGTTTTCCCTACTTCCTCCACTCCACAACTCGTAATTTCTAAGCAGCCTTGAAGGACCAATTTCAGGAGCCCAGAGCATCTGATCCCCACCATTTGAAGACCGTTGTTACTGACTGCAGAGTAAGCGGCACTAAGAACCTCTAGTTTTGGTAACTCACACCCATAACCAATACTTTGGATCCCCGAACAGAAATCAATTCCTAAGCTTTTGATATCAGGACAAATATTGAGAACATTAGCAATTCCTTCTTCAGATATACCCGCGCAAGAGGAAACATCAAGTTCCTCTAACTTCGGGCATACGCAAGCAATTTTTAAAAGGCATTCGTTAGTGATATCATCATTCCATCCCAATTTCAGAGTCTTGACACTCGAGCTTTTGGAGCAATGGAGTGTGATGTCATTTCTTCCCAATCCAGTGTTCTCCATGTGAATCTCTTCTAGTAAATGGCAATTTCTTACAAGAACAGATATTGTTGAGATTGTCAATCCACTACAAGAATTTAACTTGATAGTGACTAGACTGGGTAGGTACAGGGACAAGATCTCCATATCCTTATCAGTGAGTAAATCAGAATCCCCAAGAGCAAAGTACTGAAGTAATGGACTCGCACGAACAAGGAATGAAAGTCCTTGCAATGTGAAGGTCGTACAATTCACAAGAGACAGCCTAACTAATGGAAGATGAGCTAACGAACATAGAAAAGCATCGGGGAGTATTGAGCTTTCTAGATCAATCACATGTAATATTCGACAATAACTTTGATAGACTAATGAGTGGGTTCTGGGAAAAACAATGCCGCTAGCAGAAACTGAACACAAATTTATACTTTTCCTCATCATGGAGAGAATTGCATTTGCAGTGATCAATGGGCAATCCAAAATTTCAATGCTTTCAAGGTTCAAACGATCAACTAGGGATGCAATGGAGCTATCAGTGATGAAATGATTCCCAGAAATACTGATTTTCCGCAAACTACGCAAACTAGAAGATAAAGCCTCAATTCCTTTATCTGTCACTATATGTTCAGATGCGGTCTGTCTCTCAGATCGAAAGACCATGTTTGGATCACTAATATCCAACTCTTCTAAACAAGGGAAAGAACAAGCTATAGCAAACAAATGAGAGTCGCCCATAACAGGCACACGGCGGCACTTCAAAACCTTCAAATTTTTAAAAACTAATCCGGAATAGTTCGACGGATCAAATTCTATTTGATGCCTAGATATGTCAAGTTCTTTAAGGTTTATTAGCGAGGCAAAACGCTTGATTTCAGAGAATAAAGGACGGATATCACCTTTAAATTTACTGAGGTTAAGGGAAACGAGGTTGGGGAAACGGTATAGGAGTTTAGAAAAGGTACCACTGCTGATCGGGCCGGTCACCGATAATCGGATCAGGAGAGCGTTTGAGAGAGCATAGAAACGCTTGCAGACCAAAGAGAGGGATTCAAGGTCCCAGCCGCGATGGAGATGCCTAAATACCAGATCCCAGCATTCTTCTGGTAAGTCAAAACATGGGCCATCGGCAGCCATGTTTGAAGAACCGGGAGCTTCGAGCGATCGCGGGGATGGAGCTTCGAAGGCTTGGATTGTAGGAGTTTGCCTCCTTTCTAAGGGAATTTTATAAACTGAGGACGACAAGTTGTTACTACTCCGTATTAATTAACTAGACCTCAAAAATGAAATGCAAAATTGACAAGATTAATCCCTACTTTTCCTAATTAAACAAAAATAATCCGTACTGGGCAAATTATACCGTGGGATCGATCCACCATGCGCATGGTGTGCCGATCCCCATACGGTACCGTTTTTGTCTTCCAATTCTTCCAACAATCTAATACTCTGTATTACGTAAGTTTTCTTTCTTTTTGCTCAAGGTTACTAGTTTCTTTCCCTTTATTTTTCTTTTCTATTTTCATCAATTCTTTTCTCATTTAAATAAAAATACTAAAAATTTATTTGTGAGTTTATTTATCTTTATCTTTAACTAATTAAACACAATTGAATTTATATTTTTCTCTATCAAATTATTACAAACTTTTATTAATCCACGTTAAAATTAAGTATGTTGTATTTCATAATCATACATTTTTTCTACTTTTTTTTTATCTTCAACTGAAATTGCAATAGAATATATTTTCTCTTTAATATTTTTTATATTTCATGTTCATAAATTTTTTTCTATAATATATTTCTTATCTCTTTGTAAAGAAAATATATTTCTTCTCTTTGATATGTTTTTAATGTTTTTAAGACATTCAATTTGATTTTTTCGATTTAAATTTCATAAAACATGAAATTATGTTACATTTTTCATGTGTGTGAGTTATGTTATGAAGGTACATCTTTTTATAGGCGAGTTACATCTTGTTGTGCATGAGTTACATCTTCCCATGCGCGAGTTTCATTTAGATGTGCCTCAATAAGTTATATTTTGCATACACCTAATTTAGATTTTCCATCAACACGAGTTAAATTTTTTATAACAAGAGTTACATCACAAAATAAACTCCACCTATTGAAACCAAAAAATCAATTTTTTTGCAAACAAAAATGATTTTTTGTTTTTGAAAAAAAAAACGATTTTGGGCAAAAAATGAATATTATGGGCAATTACAAAAACAAAACATATTAACTATTTATGTAAATAATTTAAGCAATTAGACTCCTTGTTTTTATTGTTTACATTTGATAATATATGAAGTTACATCTTCTTATACGTGAGTTACATTTTTTTATCCGTGAGTTACATCTTTCTATACGCGAGTTACATTTAGATTTACCTTAACAAGTTACATTTTGCATACATCTAAGTTAGATTTTTGATCAAAGTGAGTTACATTTTCTATAACATGATTACATCGCAACATAAAGCACTGCTATTGAAACAAAAGAATCATTTTTTGCAAAAAAAATATATAAATATAATTTTTTGGTAAAAACTGATTTCATTGGCAAAAAAGTGATTATTAATTTTTTTATGGCCTTCATATTAAAAACCGAACATATTCACTATTTAACTAAACTCATGCTATAGACACAAAAAAATGATTTTTTTGCAAGAAAAAAAATGATTTTTTTTGGCGAAAAAAATGATTTTTTGGCAAAAAAAAACGAATTTAAGGAAAAAACATTATTTGTGGCCTTAATATTAAAAACAAAACATATTCACTATTTACGTAAAATAATTGAACAATTAGACTCCTTGTTTTCATGGAAATCAATGTTTCATTTCTTATAATCCGTATTAGACACACGTTACATTTTGACTTGCCTGCAGTTACATTTCTTATCAGCGTGAGTTACATATCTTTAAACGCGAGTTACATCACTCTGTTACTGGATACTGAAAAAACAAAAAAGAAGTTACTGTTCACGCGTGAACAATAATATGCATTTTTTGCCTAGAAGCAGCATGCTCACCGTGGGCTGCTCCTACGGTATAGCAACTGTCCGTACTGTAGGGATTAATTTTGTCAATTTTGCCAAAATGAAAATGATACTCCGTAAAAAACTACTCTCCCATTTGGACTTTTTATATGAAGATTTTCCTATCCATTTTAAGAAACAATTTGTTATCTTAAATGATAAATTAATTATTAAATATTAAAATTAATACATTTAAAATATCACAACTATCAGCACTAATTCATTGTATCCTTCAAAAAAAATACTAACCAATGTATTACATATCTATTAAAATTATTTTTCAAAATATACCAGGACTACTTTTTTTAATTATTGTCTAAATACTGTGTCGTTTTTACATGAGAACCTTTCAATAGGGCGGATATAGTATGAATTAAAAATATAAAATATTTTTCTGAAAAGAATCTAAAATATCATAAAAAATTATTTCCCATTTTCTATTTATTTATTGCATTAATAAAGTTTAAAAAAACTTTAATAATAAAAAATTTATGATATTTTAAATCTTAGTTACTCCCTTAGTCCCATTTTGTAAGATATACTTTTCTTATTCATTTGGTCAACACCAATCACGCTTAATCTCTTACTTTATATATCAATTTTTTATTAAATTTGATTCTGGTTTTTGCGACTTTGTAAACCTTTTAATGTAGTTTTTGAATATGTAATTCTTTTTTTCTAAAAAAAATTGAGTGCGGACAGAGATCTGGTTACTTTATCGCCGGTCAAACATCGTAAACCATAAATTGTCTTACAACTCGGGACGAAGGGAGTATATATATATATAGTTTCCCGTCATCCGAATCTTGTATATATCATCAATATTCATAATCGAAATTGTACATACCGTCAGCTAGAAATTTTAATCGGAAACTACTACTACCAATTACTCAGGAATATTTCACATAATATTTTGTTGGAAAAATGTGTTAAAAATTGCATTAAATGGTCATTTTGGGGAAATTATTTGGGTGGGGTCCACTTCCGATTTGGGTCACGTCTAAGTGGTTTCGGATTGTTCTTGTTAAGGGCTACAAATCGATATATGGTACACTCAAAAAGGATAACGGATGAATGAGAAATTGATTCTCGAATTCACTCATTGAAATGGAAAAACTGGGAAAATGATGAGTTTCTAGTGTGTTTTATAATTTATATCACACCGGAAAATTCAAGGGATTTTCACCCCCTTATAAAGGGAAACCTCTTTTAAGGAGTTAAGATTCCTAAAGGTAAAAGCCCTCTCTTACGCGCAGGGGAGGGGGTGCCGATCAAATCCCGAAACGGAGAAGAAAAACCGCGACTCTTGTGCGCGAGCGACCTGCGGACACGAATGCCGTCCGAAAATCTATCATTCAAATCAGTGTTCCAACTCTGGTAGGGGTATTGCAACACCCCGGCCCCGTAGGCCCCGAGATAGTTACTTCTGACCTTTAGTACTATCCTCACAAACCGCCACTAGCCTTTTCCGCGCACTTTGTCCTCACTCATGCGCGCCCCGAGAAACTTCCCAGGGGGTCACCCATCCCAAGACTACTCCCGTGCAAGCACGCTTAACTTTGGAGTTCTTGGGTGATGAGCTCCCTTAAAAGGGGATGCATCTTGTTGGTATGAGTAGTACTATTAATCCATTTAAATTAAATCTGAAGTGTTACAGGTATTCTGCTGGCTTCGTACCAGATATGCTCCACCTCTGGTGGAGGTATTCTTGTAGCATCAGAGTAGCTCCAACTCTGATGGGGGGTATTCTGGTCGCCCACAAGAACTGATCCAAGCCGTTACAGCCATTAAATGTCCAACATTCTCGTCTTTTAATGCAGCGTTAAATGGAGAGTTTATGGATTATTCAATTCCCAACAGACTGGTCATTGATGTCCAACGTTCAGGTCCATTAACACCTCATTTAACACACAATAAATCCTCCTATAAATAGCTGGCAGGTGCTTTGCAACAACACATGCAATCATGCACACTATCTGCACGTATTTTGACCTCTAACACGAGTAATTCACGAGTTAAAATAATAGTCAAGGACTTAAATAAATCTATATACGGAGTATATTAAAAACATGTAAAGTGGAGCATGTCACAAAAGGGGTTGTTAGACCAGTGGTTTCTGTTTATCATTTCAATTGCATGGTTGTGGGTTCAATTCCTAGCCTTTCACACTCTTAATATAAATTTAAATAAAAGTGACATGGCGAATTGCATTGCACACTCTTAATATAAGTTTAAATACTACTTCCTTAGCCTTTCTTTTTCATCCCCTTTCCCAGCACACTCTTGCCTTTATTTTTTTTGGAAAGAAACTAACTTAATTATTATTGATAAGAGTAACCAGAAATAGTTCGCGGGTTTCACTTGTCAACTCATACAGATTGCGAGTTTAAGTGAGTTGGCCCACCGGGTTGCGGGTTGGCCCACGGGTCAATATACAAACATATTATTTTGATTTTTATTATCTTAAACATTGTTCTTTTACTATCAAAATTATTATAATTATAATTATTTATATAATAAATATTCAAATAAATTGTTGAAACATATATTTTATGTAAATTTCGATATATTATTTAATAATTAGTAGTCATGATTTACAAATAATCACTCAAATAGTTTTCAAAATTTTGGTATAACTAGTACGGAGTATTTAATACTACACATTTTTTTAATTAAACTTAACAAGTATTGAGTTCTTAGTATTTTAATTTCTATATTTCATTCACTACTACTTACTAATATAAATATATACTCAAGGGTAATTATTTTTAAAATATATTTTGTCATATACGGAGTATATTTTTTGCATCAGCCCGCATGCCACCCCGTTTAACCCGTGGCCTGGTTAGGTGGGTTGGGTGAGGGTTGTAGAAATTATGACCCGTCATTAAACGAGTTGGCCGGCCTGACCCAACCCACATAAAGGATAACCCGCTACGGGTCGGGTCGGGCCAGGTCGGTCTGTTTGGCAGCTCTAACAAGAAACATAACATTCAAAAGGAGAAGCGTTGCAATCATAGTGTGAATTATTCCTTGCGCGAATTCCTTGCGTGAATTTCTTTGTTAAACCCAACTAATGCCTCTTCCTTTCATCTATTGCGCCCAAAGAGATTCCTTACCCAAGTTATTGCCTTTCTCGTATACCCAATTTAAGCTACTCCTATCATTTAATGTCTTACTTCCCACCCATTGTATTCATTCAATGCATTTCAACCCTAACTCTATCGATACTACAGACTATTGTTCCATATTTCAAATTCACAATTGATTCCGGTCCGCATCTGTTCACATCACAATTGTAGCTAGTGCTTAAGAAAAGAATTTATACATACGTAGTTTCATTGTATTCATTTTTTGTTGTTGCTCAAAGCATGATCTTTCTTCACATACAACAAACTGATTTACATGACTTAAATAGCCACTCACACGACCTAGCCCTACACACACCACTAAGTAATTTAAATAGCTAACTGCCCATGACCCCATGTACTACACCCATGACAATGAGACCCACCTACTCACTAACACCCATGCATGGATGCCTACCATTTACATGCATGTAAATAACTTAATCGACCCAAATTAGACTAATACTAATGCAACGACACATACGCACATCAGTGCCGCTACAACACACACGGTGCCACGCGACGCGCACTACTTGGCCACAAATTAAAACACAATCTAATCAACTAGATTTAATACTAATAACAAGATTTGTTCCAACAACAATGCCCTAATAATGCCCGTTCACTATAATAATGTTACTGCCATCGTCGAAGGGCTGGTGTCCTTCGCTATCCTCATTCTACGCTACCGCTTTTTTCTTTTGACTCGGAGTCTATTTCCACACGTAAAAGGAAGGTGTTCTTCTCCTTTTGCCTGCAAATGGCTGCAATAAATATTGAGTGTCGCACGCATACCCTACCAAGTCGCTAGTTTCATTTCACAAAAATACATTTTTTTAGTTTAAACTCTACGGGAAGGGTGGTCATGAACCATCACTTTTAGTCATATTCTCGACTATTAAGAGCCCTTTTTGTAACATTAAAATTGGCTGAATTGGCTGATTCTGCTGAAATTTATGAAGTTCTGGCTGAAGTGGTTGTATTGACTGATTCTGCTGATTCATGAAAAAATTATATTTAAAATATTTGTTATTAATAAATTAAATAAAAAATTATATGAAAAAATAGCTAAAATGATTCTCTACACTAACTTCAGCCAATACAGCCAGAAAAGTAACTCCAACCTTAGTTTTTCTGCTTATTACAAACTTCAGCGCACGAAATCAAAAGTTACGTGTTTGGTGAAAAAGCTGACTGATAAGCCTGATAAGCCGAAAAAAGGGGTTACCAAACGGGCTCTAAGTTTATAAGTCATACTTCCTCCGTTCTTTTTTAATTGCAAGAATCTACTTTAATTTAAATCCACAAGTTTGATCATTAATATCTTTCATTCCTTATTTGTAAAAAATTTAAAAAAAATCATATTTTGAAAATCTAGAACGAGAAGAATTTAACATTATTTTTTAAAAATTTATTTTATAATATATTAATAAATAAAATATATTCAAAGTAGAATATGTAAATAGTATAAAAAGTTCAATGTTGCAATTAAAAGAGAACGGAAGTAGTATTACGGGAACTTGGATGTGTTTTAGTATTATAGCCGTAATTTTCCCTTCAAAAAAGAGAGAATTCCCCTAGTAGGACTAAAACATGGAACAAATGCAAAAGTAGGACACCTATGTTTAAAATGCAAAACTAGGACTACAATTTGTCTAACTGGACAAAAATACCCTTAATGAGATAAAACTAAAAGTCACGTGTGTTTCCCAGAAATGTTGCGCTTCGGCCATTGCAAAATAATCTTCTTCCCTTCTTCTTCAGCCAAGTCAGGTAGGTAATCTTCTTCTGTTCTTCTTTTTCTTCTTCTTCATCTCTTTTCTTCTTCTTCTTCTTTTTCTTCTTCTTCTTCTTCTTCTTTTCTTCTTGGATTTGAATTTTATTTATTAATTTGAAATTTGAAAATATCAAAATCCCAAGTTGCGTATATGTCTTGGAGACCTCCAATGAGAATGTCAAGAATAATGACATGATGATGGAAGTTTCGTATAACAACATGACATTCTCAGTTGTGAAAAATATGAATTTTTTAAATAAAAAATAATGGCAATTTAAGGATGAAAATTCTGACATCATTCAAAAAACATGTCATTTCTAATAACAAGTAGTTATGTCATTCTCATATCAGCCATAAAAATGTCATAAAATGCCATAAGAATGACATTTTCTTGTGGACATATGACATTTTCAGATTATCATCCTGATAAATATATTGCCACAAACGTGGCAGTTTTTTCAAATAACCAATAATTTTGACATTCTCATATTATAAAAGTGGCTTTTTTGAAAATAATCAAAATTAACAAATTAATAAAAAATCAAATTCAAATGTTACATGTGATTAGTAATTGGTTGAAACTTAGCTCCTAATTTCATATTTGTAGATCCCAATCTAATCTAGAATCTTAAAAGTTCACAAATTAGAAGAAAATAAAAAACCAGAAAAAAGAGGCCCAAGAAGATGAACAAGGGAAAGAATATGAGGAGAAGGAGGAGTAGAAAGGAAGAAGAGGAGGATTAAAGAGAAGCATAAAGGAGGAGGAGGAGGAGGAGGAGGAGGAGGAGGAAGAGGAAGATTACCTGGGAAATTGCAGAAGAAGATATGCCCTCCTATGAAACTTTTCCGCCGTGAACAGAGGATTGCGGCCATGGAAGTTCCAGCGTGGGTGATGAGTGTAACTATGGAGATTCAATTTTGTCGTGTGCTCGCAGCTATGGAATTTTCCAGGCGATTGGATAAACTTTGGAGTTGTCGTGCGTCTTGAGTCGGCTTCGATCTTAGCAAGGGCTTTAATTAGATAAAGGGTAAAAATGTAATCTTCAATCCTATTTAGGGAATAAAAAACTTAAAGTCCTATTTAGTCATTTAATCTATGTTTTAGTCTCAATTTGGGAAATTTATTCTTCAAAAAAAACTTGAGATATTACCCGAAATATGACTAAAAGAGTTAGAAAATTCCTAAATAGGACTCCCATATTTTTATTCCCAAAATAGGACTAATTACTGCCATGTTTTGACAGTACCAGACTTCAAACACGTCAGTATTTTCTAAACATCACGGTAATTAGTCCTATTTTGAGAATAAAAAATGACAATCATATTTTGGAATTTTGAATCTGTTTTAGTCCTATTTCGGGAACTTTCCCAAAAAACTTCCAACATTACTCAAGAATTTCACTCTAACCATTTCACTATCTCGATCGAGGGGCACTTGATATAAAAAAGCTAGAATAGTACAATTATATACGGAGTATCAATCTAAATAAGTTATAGATCAGTGAAAACACAATTCCGGGTTCCATTATTCTGTCCCACAAAAAGGGCTCCAATACTGCAATAACAAATGAATAACCTTAGCTTAGCTTGACGGAAATCAGAAGGAGCTGCATGGACGTGCATGCAGCTATTCTTGTGGGGGTGAAAATATGGGGACAAGTGGCGGCGCCGGTGCAGAGAAATCTGGCGGCACGAAGTCCGGAACCGGCGGCGAAATTGAAAAGAATGGCGGCGGGTCAGTGAACACGGGGACAAGCGGCGGAGGCGGCGTCACCGGTAAGCGCGGGATGGTTGGAGCTACCCACGGGAAGACGGGGTTTGGCTGGTTGTGCGGCGGTGGGGAGACGAGCAGAGGTGGCGGAAAGATGATTGTCTGCGGCGGCACTGGTAAGCGCGGGATGGTTGGAGCTACCCACGGGAAGACAGGTTTATTTGGTCGGTTGTGTGGCGGTGGGGTGAGGACAAGTGGTGGCGGAAAGATTATTGTGGGCGGCGGAGGAGGCAGGTGAAAAAATGGCGGCGGAGGCGATGGAATAAGAGGTAAGAGCGGCGAGCGACATGGCCTGAACCTGGCGCCGCCAATAATGCCACGGCGGCGGCACCTTCTTCTGCCAATCACTCCGCCGAAGACGGTGATCCGTCTATTCTTTTCTGGTTTATCATCTCTTTTTGTGGTGGTAATAAGGTGATGAATATGCTTTGGGTGAGATCGAGCAGCTTCGGCTTGCAGTAAGGCTGCTGTGATTAGCAAGAGTAGTGCTAATAATAAAACCACTCCAACTATACTCCCTCTCTTCTCCATAACTCCTACTACTATACCTTCTTCATTACGACTGGCCTGGCACACAAATATATACTCCATCTAGCTACAAGTCTACAACTTTCTATTCTCGTTTTCGGATGTTTATTGCTAAATAAAGCTGTTTCTTTATTTTACAAAACGTCAACATACTCCGGGTAACCGTTTGACACTGTTTGTCAATGTTTGACACTGTTTTGCACTGTTTTGGTGTATATTGTTTGCCAAATAAGGCGGATAAAGAAGTGTAAAGTGTAATATGAGTGAGCTCAAAAATGAAAGTGTAACGTTAATTAGGAAGCGGGGGGAGTATACTTTTACAAACTGAATCAGGTTAACTGACTCCAAACTCATGTAGACAGGTATCAATGCAAAGATTTATTATACTAAGTAGTACTCCCTCCGTCCCGAAATAATCGTCCTGTTTTGACCTTCGCACAGATTAAGAAAACAAAGTTAACTTCACACTGTAGCGACACTGTTTGGCACTATAGCAACACTGTTTGACACTGTTGCGACACTGTTTGACATTGTTTTGCACTGTTTGACACTGTTTTATATAAATTTGTTTACCAAATAAGGAAAGGAGACAATTATTTCGGGACGGACCGAAAAAGAAAGCAGGACAATTATTTCGGGATGGAGGGAGTACGTATTAAGGGAAAAGGCAAAAGTCAAAATGAGTATGTTCACGGGACGGAGGGAGTAAAATTTACTGTCGGTTCACACCTCAATAATTTAAGTTTTATTGTAGGTATACTGAGTCCCGTATACTTGAATTATTGAGGTGTGAACCTACAGTAAATTTTACTCCCTCGGTCCCGTAAAACTTTAACAACTTTCCTTTTTTGGTTGTCCCACTAATTTTGCCACTTTCTCTTTTAAGTAAATAATTTGTGATTCCAGTTAATTCTCTCTTCTCTTTACAAACTTCTACCACACAATTTTTACTTTATTAATCTCTGTACCGATCAAACATGACAAAGTTTTAAGGGCGGGAGTAGTTAAACTTTACTTTGTATAACCATTACTGTGAAAAGTCAAACATAGATTTTTGAGAAGTGTAGACACTAATTGTGTAGGATGAAATGGCTGGTACGACCTTGTTTTACGTGCCATCTGGAATTGGAGCCAGAACTGGTCCAACCGTACAACCACCCAAAATTTAATGCGCATATCAATGAAAAATGTTACGGGCCGCCCAGGTTTTAAATTCGAATCAAGCGGCCTTTAGTGGCACAGGTGAAAACTTTGGGCCTGGTTTAAAAGCAGTGCACCCATGCCAATTGTACATTTATTGTCCCTTAAAACTTTGCCAAAGTTGACCGGCACGGAGAATAATAAAATAAAAACTGTGTGGTTGAAGTTTATGCAGAGGAGAGAGAAATAATAGGAACCACAAAATAATTGATTAAAAGAGAAAATGTCAAAGTTTTTTTGGACGTCTCAAAAAGGAAAGATGACAAAGTTTTCTTAGACGTCGCAAATTATACCGTGGAATCGGCCCACCATGTGCATGGTGTGCCGATCCCAAAACGACGGCGTTTTATATTAATTAAAACAGAGTTGACAAAAATTCATCGTCTTCACCTGCCGTCCAGCATATGCTTTGTCTCTACGGCCAAAAAATCAGTTCCTACCTGCTGAATCGAATTCCGATTGAGACCCATCCAGCCGCATGCCCTTGTGTTTCACCAACTATGATGACGGGCTCCTTTTGTCGCGAGAGGGTCGGCTGATGTCTATTTACTCATCCAACAAAAGTAAAAAGCATCCCACTAATTAAATTGATACATCTACGGAGTATTTGAAGAGAAGCAAAGATGCAAATTTTATATACATTATATACTCCCTCCGGTCCTAAATAAAGTTCAGTGTTTGAATTCACACAAATTAAGGAAATAAATTTGACCTTACTGTAGAGTACACTGTTGTGACACTGTTTGACACTGTTTTGCACTATTTTGATGTAGATAACTTGCCAAATAAGGAAGAGAGAAGAAGTGTGAACTTTATTTTGGACCGACCCAAAAAGGAAAGTGTGAACTTTATTTAGGACCGGAGGAGTATATATTATACAACTTACAATTTGATTTGATTCAACTTACATTTTTATTAACGTAATTTACTTTTCTATTTATCTCAAGTTAATATTGAGTTTGTTTTTAGAGGTTTTTAAGACATTGAGTGTGTTTATTTTGATTCTTGGAATTACATTTGATAATATACGAATTTGCATTTTCTTATTCTCGAGTTACATGTTATTATGCGTGAGTTACATCTTGTTATGCGTAAGTTATATATTTTTTTTGTGTGAGTTACATACTTTTATGCTCATGTTACATCTAATTATGTGTGAGTTACATCTTGTTTATTTGTGATTTTTTACTTATCTTTATCTTTAACTAATTAAATTACAACTAGATTTTTTTATTACCAATTTATTACAAAATTTTATTAATGCACATAAAATAAGTATATTGTATTTTATAATCACAAAATAAAACCCTTGTATTGAATAAAAACACTTTTTTAAAACCGATTTTCTTTTGCAAAAAAAAAATGTTTTTTTGGGGAAAAATGATTTCTTTAAAACATTTTGTGGTCTTAATATTAAAAACACAACACATTCACTATTTAGGTAAAAAAAAATTAGAAATTAGACTCCTTTTTTATTGTTCACATTGAAACCATCGTTTTAGACAAGTTATATTTCGACTTGCCTGCAGTAACATTTCTTATTAATGTGAGTTACATTTCTTTACACGTGAGTTACATCATTCATGCTACTGAGACAAAAAACAGATACTGTTCACGCGTGTACTGTTCACGCGTGTACTGTTCACGCGATTTTTATTTTAAATTGTGCAAAACTACATCGTTTTTGGGAGTGAAGAATGATGCTCAAAGTGCTCTGGTTGCATCGTATAAGAACTGCTTAGACGTCTGCCCAGTCACTGCCTACTGCCCAGTCACTAGACAATGACGGGAGGTCTTGATTTTGATGGCAGGACACTTAGGCGGCTAAGTGGTGGACGCCTAGGCGGCTAAGCGCGTGGACGTCTAGGTGGCTAGGCAGCCACCCGATGAATATATGAGGCAGATAAAATTTAAAGAGAAAATAAGAATTGTACTCTATTACTTCGTAGTTTACATCAAATGATCATGAAAAATAAGTCTCTTAAGGTAGTTTTATTGATGGAATTTGCAAAAGACAAGTAGATGTCCACGGCACATTCAACTCATCAATTTCTAAGATAATACGGGGTATAACTTTGTCGAGACACATATGGTTTGAATAGTTCTAAGAACACATTCATCGGCACTTTATTCATTGAAAAATGTGTGCGAGTAGATGTTGTGGGTCTTTGTATTCGGATCCTCGTGAGAAAGTTCTAAGAACACATTCATCGGCACTTCATGATAAAAATGCATACGACTGACCCTAAGGATGCTTAGACAATTACACATATGTCCTCGCGGTCTCGTACGTGTCTGGTTGATCTCTCTGTGTATAGTTCGATCGTCTCTTTCATCGTAGTAAAGGTCGATTAGAGGTCTCAAAGGGACGTGGTTAATTAATCTTCTTTATTGTGCCATACACATAATGGGTTGGGCCCAACACAGAAATATCCCAAACCCAATAGGTATTAGGTGAGTATATTAGCCCCATCACCAAGAATGGATAAAGTCACAAAACAATTCAAAATGGATTTGTTGGATAAATTTAGATAAATGCTTAACCTATTTCAACAAAGTTTAACTCAGTAGAACATTTAGTCAAAGTTTAATCCCACGTTAAACATCTAAGAAGTGAATGTTAATTAGAAGTTGTTGAAAACGTTAGAGTGTTGATCCATTATCAAGGCTGAGTCTCCATTAACATTATGGTGGACTCAAACTCAAGACAAACCATTTTTATATATAAATATTTTAATTCATATTTTTTCATATTTCCCATTCAGCCCAACTAGCTATACTTTTTAGGGTTGACATAATCACTAACAGTTTTTTTGAGCAAAATGTCTACATGTATATACTTTAGTACGCACCTTATACACACTATATATACTCACAAAAAAAAATTACCCCCTTTCACTTCTTTTACCTCTTCCCTTACTTCTTCCCCCTCTCTCCATCCCTTCTTCTACGCAGTACGCACACTTCCTCTCCTCTCTCCCCATCCCTTCTCATTTCTTCCTCTCTTTAGTTTTCTCTTCATTTTCAAAAAAAAAAAAATCAATTCACCATCAATTATCAATTCACGATAATTATGAGAGTCTGTTCCTCCACACATAATCCAACTATTTTAGTCTCAAAATTTTGAAAGTTGAGGTACTAATTAATTGCAGTTTCTTTTTTGCTTTTATGATTATACTTTTTTTCCTTTTCAGATTTTTATGTATCGTTATGTTGAATGCTAAAATTTTAGCATAATTTTGAATGTATGATTATTTTGTTTCATTGTTATGAGTTGGTGATGTTAATTTTAAAATTTCAGTCAAACTATTCTCTTTTTTATGCACATGACATGTTTGTTTAAATGTTTCACTGAAATTTTAATAAATATTTCTTGAAGTTGCATTTATAGTTGTAGTTGTTTTACATATGTTGTTTGTCATCATCAAATTGCATATTTTATTCATGTGAATTTCTAAGATGAACTTGTTTTTTGGATTATTTTGTAAATTGTAATGTATATTTAATAGTTTAGAATTTTTTTGAGGTAAAATGGAATAATAGGGAAAGGAGAAGGTTAGAACTTCTCACCGTGTGTTAATTTATATTGTTTGCCTGGAATGTGTTGAAAATGTTGTTTGTATGTTTATTTATTTTGTTTGTGTGTAGAAAATATTTGTCTGTGTGTTCATTTACCCGTAGTGATATTATCCAATGCATTTTAAGTTCATTATAGGTCACATGGCTCTGGAATTTCTCTTGTTGCAGAAACCACTGCTGTTTGCTTCATCTCCACTCGGGGAGTTGGATAAGAGGATAAATGCAATGTTGTGCTACTAATTTTTGTAGTTAGTTATATTGTGAAATTAATGTTCTTGTATTTACAATGATAGTGTAAGTAGAGTTTTCAATGTTTATCTTTTGTAATATAAGAATGACTTTATATGTTCCCAAAGGAATTGAATTAGTGCTATTAATCCGTGTGTAATTAGTCTAATGCTTTTTAGCTTGAGAGGGTGATTCTCATAAAAATAAGGTGTCTATGATGCTCATAAATATATAATTATTAATCTTAGGTAAACTTGTGGTCTTGCACAGACAATATAAATGAACACATAAACAATTATTTTCTACGCACAGACAAAATAAATGAATAGATGTTTAAATGAATGCACAAACATTATACATAAACATTGACAATTATTTCCTACGCATAGACAAAATAAGCAAATACACATACAATGTTTAAACCACACATCCCTATATAATATAAAGTAACAGTTTTTGCACCACAATTGAAGGGGAAAATCCCACCCAAAATAAGGGCATATCTTTATATAATATAAAGTAACAGTTTTTGCACCACAATTGGAGGGAAAAATCCCGCCCAAAATAAGAGCATAATAGGGAACTAATGAAACAACTAAATTTGGTAATTAAATGTACTAAATGTATTAATCTTTGACATATTTGAGTATGAACGGCTATTACAAAGTTGGGTAATTCCTGCATATGAAACATTACCATAATAATACGTTAAATTAGGCTATCACACTATTTTTCTTCTTTATTCTTTTTTACTTTTGTTTTTTGAAGCACTTAATTACTAGACATTTTCTTATTGTATAAAAATCTTTGTGTGTATTATACTAAATTGTTAACTAGAATGTAAATTTAAAAAAAAACTTTGTTTAACTCTTTTTGTAAGTTCACCTAACTTTTAGAAGATACCTAATATAACTAGGATAATACATTTAAAATGGAGTACTTATGAATTAAACAATAAGTACTTTTCTTAAAATTGTTAATAATTTTTTTATTTTTGATACGATTTTTATAAAATTTATATCAATTTTTATTTTTATTTTTCATGATCTTTCAAATGCGACCAATATTGCCTATGTAATTTTAATTTTTTACATTCATACATTTTTTGTAATATATTTTTATATACATACACTTTTTCTATAATATTTTTTTATCACTTTTATATGTTTTTAGAGGTTTTTAAGATAGTGAGTTTGTTTATTTTGCTTCTAGCTTGGAGTTACATTTGATAATATACAAAGTTACATCATCTTATACTCCAGTTACAAGTTATTATGTGTGAGTTACATCTTGTTATACACGAGTTTATGAGAATTAATACTCCGTATATCACTATACTTAGGTTGGTGAAAATTTTCCATGTTTGTTTATAATCCAATGACATCCAAGATGCTTAATTAGGAATATAGACCGTACTTTTAATTAGTTAATTTATTGTTACTAGTCACATTGAATTTATCTTTTACTACATAGTATTTTATTTAAAAAAGCATCATTTACATGTTTGCTGGTTTAGTATTTTAATTATTGTTCTCTTTCCTCCAAATATTTCTCATGCTCGCCAGTCGTCAGTCGCTAGTTTTTTTACTCATTAATGTCATTTAACTAAACTTTTTGTTAGTACTTTTATTGTTTACATTGATTTGTTTAGCCGTTGCCACTATTAATCCTTAGAGAAAGTTTGCAACAACTGACACTAATCGGTGACCGATATTGAAACCAACGGTCCAACACTTCCTTTCACCACTCCTCGAAAATACGATACTCAGGAACAATCTTTTCCATTCGAAAAGATTTAGCTTTGTTTTATTTTAACGCCGTGATGCAATTTATGAGTAGAAAAGTCTATTATATCTTTTAGTAATTAACATGTATTTTTTTAAGCGTATATAATACTCCCTCCGTTTCTGAAACAAGTTCCACATTTGACTTCACACATATTAAGAAAATAAATTTGATTTTACTGTGGAGTGCACTGTTTGACACTGTTTGAACACTGTTTGGCACGGTTTAAACACTGTTTGACACTGTTTTGATGTAGATAATTTGCCAAATAAGGAAATGTTTGAAAGTGGAACTTAATTTTGAATCTGCCCGAAAAGGAAAGGTGAAACTTCTTTTCGAATCGGAGGGAGTAATAACAATTTAATGCTCTGTAATAGAATTACCATTTTGCATCACTATATAGCTTAACTTAATGTATCAATCCAACCTTGATCAACCTCATGTAAGTTGGGACCGTGTATTCAAGTTCAAGCGTTCCATCATATACGTAGTATCTAGCAAGCCTAGCAGTGAAGGACATGGGCGAAAATTCCACCTTTTACCATCATTATGAATTATGAATAATATTATGGTACTACGTAGTTCTTAAGTAAGAGGTGAACTTCAATGCTACGAGTAGGGATGGATTCGGGCCGGGTCGGGCCCGGGCCGGACCTAGGCCCGGTCGGGCCGCCGGTTCGTATCACATGGGCCCGGGACCGGCCCGAGGGTTGGACGGGTCCGGTTCGGGCCGGGCCACCCGCCGGGCCGGGCCGGGCCGGTTAAATATTTTTTTTTAATTTATATTTTATACTTTATAGTTTTATACATGTATTAAAAAACAAACTTCAAGTGCATTTATTTCAAATGAAATAGGAACTACATTTGAAAATTAAATAGGAACTATAATTGTTTTTAATCGAAATCTCCGGCATAGGTAGAGCCACCCTCTGTTGTAGATTCATCCATAAAGTGTTGGGATGGAGTGATGTCAATTTCTTGAGCTCTACGTGCTGCTTTCAACCAATCGTGGTAGCATATAAGCATCTCAAGAGATTCAGCGCTCAACCTCGTTCTGGTTTGTGTTAGAACATTGCCGGTCGAACTAAATTCTTGTTCCACGGCAACCGTTGAAACCGGCATTGATAGCACTTGCTTAGCCATCTTTGCTAAAACCGGGAACATTCTTTCTTTTCCCTTCCACCAGTTTAGTACGTCAAAATCATCATCTTCTTCAAAATCAACATCATAAGTTAAATACAAAGAAATCTCATTAATTGTGCTTTGTTGTGTAGCGGGAGTTGATTTTGTTTTTTTAATAAGATTGGCAAACGTAGATTTGAAAATTGATTTTCCTTTAGATGATGTTTGTGTCGGGGGAGGGGGCGCATTGCCATATTGTGCATGAAACTCATTGAATAATGCATAAAATATATCACTAACCTCGTTGTATTCTTTTTTCGGATCAATTGGGTTGTTCTCATACATTGGCAATGGACCAAAAAAAGCAGCATAATAATAATTCAAACATTCTTCTAAAGAACCAAGTCTAAAACGAGGATCGAGAACAAATGCAATACCATAAATATGCGGAATATGTGAATAATATTTTAAAAACTTTTCCTTCATAAAACCAGCAAAATAACTCACATAATCAGCATTCTCAAAATTTGAAAAAGCACCGGCGAGATTAACAACTTCACGAATAAATTGGTTTGAAGTAGGTTTATAAACATGACTAAAAGTTTCAGTTGCATTATTAAAATATATCAAAGCATTACAAATTTTTTCACAGGTGTCGATCTCAGCCGAGTTTATAATATAGTTATCATATTGTTTCATAAAAGCAGGAAAATGTTGTTTATATCTAAGAAGAACTCCAATTAACTTATAGGTACTATTCCAACGAATAGACAAATCTTTTGGAAAAGCCACATATCTCTCACCTCTTTCTATCAAATAATCATGCCATTTTTTCCTAAGTTGTCCATTACCCCAAATACGTCTAATCCCCCCCTTGACTACCTCCAACGATGCTCCCAACGCTTTTAGACCATCTTGCACACATAAATTTAGAACATGACATGCACATCGTTGATGAAAAAATCTACCCATCAAAGAAGTAGAACCACACAATTCACGCAATCTAGGAATAGCAACAGTATTATTAGTAGCATTATCAAAACCAATAGCAAACACCTTATCAATTAAATTATACTCAATTAAAATACGTTCAATCAAAATATAAATATGTTCAGCGGTGTGACGATCATTAAATTCACGGAAAGCAAGAACACGTTTATGCATATGCCAATCATTATCAATATAATGTACAGTCAGACCCAAATAATGTAAATTATGATAAGTATCCTCCCATATGTCAGAACATACAGTAACACGTCCATCAAAGTTTGCAAAATAATTTTGTAACCTTACCTTTTCCGCACCATAAAGCCTTGAAATTTCTTTCTTAACCGTTTTGCGACTATAACCTCTATATTGCGGATTTAAACAAGTTTGTGCATAATCACGAAAAGCAAGACTTTCAGAAAACAAATAAGGCAAATTTTCTTCAACAAGTAAGTTAGCCATACCTGTCAAATTTTGTGCATCATTGTATGAGAAATTACCAAAAGCTTGTTGGTTATTTGCAAACCTCGATATTTGCGTTTGCTTCCCCGTTCCGCCGCCTAATTTTGCATACTCCACCGGGTGTTTGGACTTAAGGTGTCTTGTGGCGGATCCGTATCCGCCGAAAATCCCCAAGCTATAGTTTTTCTTGCACCAATTGCAAGTTGCGGTCCAATTCCCGGTGTTCGGGTCCTTCCACTTAGAAAAATTATTAGCCATTAATTCAGATTTACTTTTTTTAGTACCTGTTTGGGATGAGGCTGCTTGGTCGGCGTCATGGCTGCCGCCACCCTCCTCCTCCTCGTCGTCGTGGCTCTCCGGAATTGCTTCCTCCACATCGTCGTCCTCGTCCTCGAGCTCTTCTTCGTCAATGGTCCTCGGTTGGTCTTGAAAAAAGCGGGAATTATGTCGGTGCAATTCTTGTTCTAGTTGTTCGTCGGTCATCGCATCCCCATCCCTCCTTACGTAACCCGTATCAAAATCATCTTGACTTTGAGATGAAGAGCCGATATGTGATTTACCTTTGCGGGATCTCTTCCTCGCAAGCTCTTTCGTTCGGTTGCGCTCGAGGTTACCCATATCAACCGAATATCTAGGACGATCCATCTAAAAAATGTAGCGATTAATAAAAAATTGTAAAAAACTAATTAACTATTTATCTAACTATTAATTCGAGTTATAGCAAATTAAGTAGTGAATTAACTAGTTTTGTGTACAGCATATTTTTTAAACTAGAGTCAAATGTAGCGATTAATAAAAAATTGTAAAAAACTAATTAACTATTTATCTAACTATTAATTCGAGTTATAGCAAATTAAGTAGTGAATTAACTAGTTTTGTGTACAACATATTTTTTAAACTAGAGTCAAATGTAGCGATTAATAAAAAATTGTAAAAAACTAATTAACTATTTATCTAACTATTAATTCGAGTTATAGAAAATTAAGAAGTGAATTAACTAGTTAGGTGTACAACATATTTTTTAAACTAGAGTAAAATGTAGCGATTAATAAAAAATTGTAAAAAACTAATTAACTATTTATCTAACTATTAATTCGAGTTATAGCAAATTAAGTAGTGAATTAACTAGTTTTGTGTACAACATATTTTTTAAACTAGAGTCAAATGTAGCCATTAATAAAAAATTGTAAAAAACTAATTAACTATTTATCTAACTATTAATTCGAGTTATAGCAAATTAAGTAGTGAATTAACTAGTTTTGTGTACAACATATTTTTTAAACTAGAGTCAAATGTAGCGATTAATAAAAAATTGTAAAAAACTAATTAACTATTTATCTAACTATTAAACAAGAGTCAAATGTAGCAAATTAACTAGTAATTAAATAAGTGTAAATAATAGAATAATTTCGTACCTCTTTCGGACTTTCGGTCTTTCGGATGGGAGTAATAGAATGACTTCAAATTAATTAGATATAATTCCAACTATATTAATAGATATAATAAATATATAAGTAATATATAATTAGATAACAAATATAAGTAATATAATACAATTTATATCTATTTATAGTTTATATAAGTAGATAATTAATATAAACTATAAATAATAAATATAATATATTGGAGAATGGAGAATAAGAGAATTAGAGAGTAGAGAGTTAAGAATAGGATTTAGGAAGAATTGGAGGAGATATGAAAAAATGTTTAAGATTAGGAGTATTTATAGGTTTTTTTACCCCCCACCCCCCCACCCCCCCCCCCACCAGCCAACCCCCCGGACCCCCCCTTTACCCCACCCAACGGCTATATAGCCGTTTGGGTTGTCCCCAACCCCACCCCCAACGGCTAGTAGCCCAAGCAATTTTTTTTTTTTAAATTAGACCGGACCCGGGCCCGGGCCCGACCCGGCCGGGCCGGGTCACAATACTCCAGCACCGAGCCCGCCCCGCCCCTTCCCACCGGTTCGGGTCCATACCCGGTCCCGGACCACCCGACCGGGCCGGTCCCGGGCCCGCACAGTACCGGGCCGGGCCGGGTCACGGGCCGGGTGGCCCGAACCGAATCCAACCCTAGCTACGAGGCATACAGAAATGTAACTACTGCTCGGTTGAGCAAAATTATAAACTTCATTTTTATTACGAGTACTAAAAGTCTAAAACCCAATTCCGTAACACATTTAGAATATATAGATAATAAGATTATCTAGAGCAACTTCATTTTTATAATAATACATCTATGATTGATGTTTCTGTAAAGAAAATACAAACGGTATTAATTTAAAGTTTGTTACGTAGTATTTAAAAGAGAAAAGTGACGATGCGTTTAGGATAATTATAAAAACTTTGTTAAAGATGGGGACGGATGGAGTCTTAGTTCTTTTAGATCATCAACTAAAGTGATGTGTTTGTTTTCATCTACGCCCTTTATGTTACTAAGTATTTTCTTTATAGTCCATCTCCCACACTAGCAATTTAGAGCAGAAAATGAACGGCAGATGGAACATCTAGATAATTAGGATCCCATATCTTTATTTCTAAAAGTGTAGAGCCAATCATAAAGAAACATAAGTTGTGTGCCTAAAATAGGAGCAGGAGCAGAAAATATGCAGCATACTGAAAACATTGTGGCAGAATCATCTATCTAGTACTTTCTCTTTAAATCTAGAGTAACCTTTTCTCGCACAAAACAACACCGTTTGTAGGATTTATTACCAACCCCTTTTTTATTATTCATCTCAACAAATAAAAATGAGATAAATAAATAATGAATGAATAAATCAATAAAAGGAGAAGAAGGAATTAACGATAGGAAGATTCCCATTTCTTATTCTCCTGGAAATCATCTCTGTTCTAATCTCTTCCTGCCTGTTGATAGTGTACCAGCCCCTTTGGTCCTCTTACCGCCTCCTCAAACAGTGTATGACTGCTGAATTGCATCAGCATCAATTCCCTTCAGTTTCACCACTGACTCAACATGCCCCTTTAATGTATGCAGCTCCCTTAGCCTATTATGATTCATTAAGTAAAGCTAATAAGAACTCAAACTCAAGATTGTTATAAATAAGTGTTGGGCGGCTTGGGCCTAACTCAAATTCTAATCCAAATGAATCCTAAAAAGGTAAAAATTGTCCAACGCTTATTAATTAGTTTTAATTGTACTCGTCTCCAATAGTGTTAGATACATCCTTTTAATTTTGTCCAGAAATTCGGAAAATTTTACAGATTTGAATCCTACTTTTCACAATTGATTCTATATGGTTCCATATTCCATACTAGTTATTCTTTCTTTTCGATGGGTATATAATTGTAAAGCGTGATATTGTTATTACCTGGCAACTTCAGCGCGGCGCTTAGCCTGCTCAGCGATTTCAGATAACTCTCTATAGCTTTTGTTTTCATTGAAGAGCTGAGATGTGTCTGGGTGCTGAAGACCGTGCAATGTTCGTTGAGCCATTACCCATTGAGCCTCTCTTTCGCCCCGTCCATAATCCTTCTTCGTTGTGAAAGCAGTCTGCAACAATTTTTTTAAGAAATTGCACAAGTAGGAGTAAAGCGTGAATATAGTAAAATCATACGGAATATGTAGTATAAATAACTATGCTTTATTCCCAAATACTCCCCCGTCCCATTTAAAGGTTCCCAATAACTATACAAGTATGATTTATTTAGTCATAAAAAGGGAATAGAAACAATAAATTTCATTTCTTTAGGATGAATGATACTTGTTTTAAAAAGCAAATAATGGTGTCTTATTCAAATAAATAATCCTATTTAGGGAATTTCCCTCTTTTTACCATAAGTCACAAAAACACATTCTTTGCTACAGAAAACTCATACGCAATAATTTTAATTTAAAAAAAGTTACCTTGTTGTTTAGCATAGTATCCCAAGCTCTGCCACTAAGAGCATATCTGATGGCAAACTTCAATATGTCGAGTGGAATGTAGAAAACGATGCTGTAAATCCAGATCACACCGGCCCAGCCCCATCCAATACCACTTACTCTAGCAAATCCCCAGTTTGCGTAAACAGCAATTAAGGTGGCAATCTTGGAAGAACACATATAAAAAGACATGGTCAGTTTAAAGGGTTTCACATATAGTCACTTGGAACATATATATTGTGTTAATAAATTAGAAACTTATCGTTATTATTACCAGTTGGGCGACCAGAAAAGCAGCAACAAGCAAGAGACCGGGTCGTTCTACAAAAGACCAACTCCTGGACCTAGTGACAAAGATGAGTGCCTGGCTCACAATGCTTACTTGAAGATACAAAGCTGAGTTGAGCTCGGCATAGTTATCCCTGATCGGTCTGACATGAAATCTCTCCTGTCACATATATAAGCATTAGGAGAAAAAATTATTTAGTAATGTTCATAAGATTTAAGGTTCGTGGTGGCGTATTATTATAAAGTTCCGGAAACAGTCTCTCTGTTCTTTAGTATAGAGTAAGACTGCGTACATCCGACCCCCCTTACCCGACCGTAGGTGGGAGCCTTTGCGGCACTAGGATAAATGAAAATGAAAATGGTGGCGTATTATTATAAAGTGAGTAAATAAAAGTAGAATCTTATATGTGAGTTTGTATGATTTAACACGTCCACAAGATCGTTGGAATACACAAATCTAAAATTTTGGGTCATATTGATGTTTTGAACTTTGGATCTTAATTGACTCTCAGATTATATTAAAAAGTCAAAATAGAAATATAGCTCAAAAGACTTAAGATTTTGTTGTATACCGTGAAGAAGTCAGACTGATGAGCAGCCCAGAAGAAGATGACAGTCATGACTGCTAGATAAGTGCCAAGAACAATGCCGGTGGCAAATATTTCCTTAAGTTTCCAAGAATCAGGCATTGGGGAAGGCTTCACTTTATCTTTGGAAATGGTCATGATGGTACCATCGTTGAGAATGGCAATGATGAGAACCATGAAAGGCGAGAAGTCAAATTTCCAAATGAGGGCAATGAGCAAGAATCCAAGAACGATACGGATTGTAATGGAAACTGCATAGATTGTATAATTCTTCATCCTCTGGAAAATGGCTCTGCTTGTCAAGACGGCGCTCACAATCACACTCAGCCCAGGCTCAGTCAGGACTATATCTGATGCACCCCTGGCTGCGTCCGTCGCATCCGCCACTGCTATTCCTATGTCTGCTCTCTTTAGTGCCGGCGCATCGTTCACTCCATCTCCAGTCATACCACAGATGTGCTTCCTCTCTTGAAGTTTCTTCACTATCTCATACTTGTGCTCTGCATATATATATTTTACATCCATACCGTGTCAAAGATCATACTTCATAGATCCACTCATGCACTAAAAAGATAGAATTCAATCAATTGACTAGTCTAACACAATGCTTTATAATTATTAAAACAGATAATGTTATATGACTCAATTGGGCTATAAGGCTTAAAAGGCTCAGTTTTAATTAAATTTGTTTCTCTTATATCCACTAAATTAGTCACTTACATCAATTGTTGCTATATGTATATCCATATAAATGACAAAAAATACATTTACTTACAATAGGGCCTAAACGTATAGTCCAGTTGAGTTGTATGGCAAAATATACTTCGTAATTTAGCAGTAAACTTATATGTCAATCTTTAATATTTTCATTTGTTCTTGCTGACATATAGTTGCTATTGTATTTTACCTGGGAAAACTCCGGCAAATCCATCTGCCTTCTCAATGAGCTCCTCAACCTGAAGGTTTTCCATGTTTTCACCCTTCTGACCTCCAAGGAGGGAAGAAGAAGGATACATGTTGGTTCCCATTCCAAGTCGTCGCCCTGTCTCCTTGGCAATGGCTAGCTGATCTCCTGTGATCATCTTCACGTTCACACCAAGGTGAAGGGCACGCTTGATTGTTTCTCCACTGTCGTGTCTTGGTGGATCAAAGAGAGGCAAAAGTCCTACAAATTGCCATGGACCTCCTGAGCCATCCTTAGTTTTTTCGGGCACTTCTTGTTGACAAACCGCGAGAGAGCGAAGGCCACGATCTGCAAACTTGTCAATGATCGAATGCACTCTTCTTTGCATTTCGTCTTTTAGGCCACAAAGCTCAACAATCTAGTGCAATAAAGAAAAAATTTCCATGAGTTCTTTTGAACATCGGAAAAGAATTTGCCATGAGTTTAAGCAAGATTAGGCTGCTTGGTAAGGATGGACCAAATTTTCTAAAAGAAATAGTATTTGCTAGGCCCATAAGCAAATTAAAAGCTCATTTTTTCTGCTTATTCATATTCTTCTGTTTTTCTGCTGATAAATAGAATAAATCACTTTAAAAATAAGATGAAAGCCTATATTGGAACAAGAAGGTTTCATAAATAAACAACAAGAAACTTTATAGTTCACCTGTTCTGGTGCTCCTTTGCTGGCCCTGTGCCAATTCCCGTTGGAGTCTATGTATGTAATAGCAGTGCGCTTCTCCACTGGATTGAAAGGGAAGAAGTGCACCTCCTGAATGCCTGCTCTAGCCTAAGGTATGTATACAAGGGGGTAAATGGACATAAGCAAAACAAAACTTTTAGATCAAGCATGATTGATTGATTGATTTGAAGTGTTGAAGTGTACCTCCTTAGGATCAGCTAGCATTCCGACGATACAAGCATCGATAGCATCCTGATTCTCAACCCTTGACGCTCGGGCTGCCAGGAGCATGACAGTATCCTTGTCAATACCCTTGGTGAAAACCTACAACCACCAAACCAACAAGAAACATAAAACATCAGTGAACAAAAAACATAAAAATCTTATATGCTAGTTAATTGTTTTCTAATGAATAAAACCCCAGAAATGTCTTGTATGTAAGTTTGTTATTATATAATGAATAAAAAGCATCAAATGTCTTTTAATGTTTGAACCATTATATGTTAGACATTCTTCAATACCCTTCATGGTGGAAATACTAATGGTTTTCGACTGTGCAAATTTTGTCTATAAGGGTCATTATCATGGATATGTATTGGGTTGACTTTAAGACTTAGAAATCCTTTTAAAATTCTGACATTTTAGAACTGAACACCAATCTTGGTAATGTTATTTGATTTGTAATTTAATCAAACCTCAATAAGAGTTTTGTCAACAGTGAGTTTGTTAAGGGTGAGGGTTCCAGTCTTGTCACTGCAAAGGACGTCCATTCCAGCCATCTCTTCAATTGCAGTCATCCTCTTGGTGATGGCACCTTGCTGCGATAGTCGGTGAGAGCCAATTGCCATAGTTACTGATAACACGGTGGGCATGGCAATGGGGATCCCTCCAATAAGTAGAACCAACAGATTGTCAATTCCATCTCTGTATCTTCTGTGCTGGATTGGGTACATCACCACTATCTCTACTACAATCCCCACAGCAATGGAGCATATGCAGAAGTTTCCAATGGAAGTCAACACCTGATTCAAGTAAATGTTTTTCAAAAAGATGGAATTCTTATATATACTAGCTAGCTGATATAATATAAAGACAATTAGTTCTGAGAATGTGAGATGCCATTTGGTAATTATTTTGCTTTCAGTTTCCACTTAATTCCTGAAGAAAAAACTTTGGCGGACGGAATAAAATTTTCAATACTATTATGTATTATGAAACTCATGTTTTCATTGTTTCTCCAAAACACGTTTCTGATCTCACTGTTCTTTATAATATATTTGTATTATAAAACAATATATAATTTATGGACAAGGATTTGATTATGTGATCACTATTGTATTTGGAATTCAGAAAATATCATCGTGGTCACTGCAATGCATGTAAAAACAGAACCTTATTAAAAACACTATTCACTACAATCACTAAAAATGCAATTATGATGCAAAATACTACTATGGCTGTATTACAGAATTCTTCTCAATTAGTTTTAACTAAGTCATATATTTGTCTAATTATATGTATTCATTCATTATAAAAACAGAATAAAAGAAATCAGAAAGCAAAAACAAATTTATGGTTTATGTACTACCTTCTGGAAGTGGCCAACTTGATTGGTGCTGTCAACAAGATGGGCAGCCTTGCCAAAGAAAGTATGGAGACCAGTGGCAATAACAACTGCTTCGATTTCACCCTGTTTACAGGTGGAACCTGAGAAGACTTCATCTCCAGGGTTCTTGGTCACAGGCAAAGATTCACCAGTCAAAGAAGATTGGTCAATCTTGAGAGGATCCCCTTCAAGAAGGCGGGCATCAGCAGGCACAATGTCTCCCAGTTTTATGCTGATTACATCTCCAGGCACCAGGATTGCAGCTTCCTGCTCACTCCATCTCCCATCTCTCAAAACCTTTTAATTAAATTTTGAAATTAAATAAATAAAACATGTCAATTAGTATATATAAAATCATCTATCTGCAATTCAAAATGAAGAAATATAATGTCATCTTCATTCGTGTAATTAATTACTTTAGTCTTTGGTGCAAGTCCAGCCATTAGTGCAGCAGCAGCATTGCCTGCATTGTTTTCCTCAATAAAGCTTACAGTGGAATTGATGATCAAAAGCAATATTATACCGACGAAATCTTGCCAATCCATAGGCTTGCCCTGAAATTTAAAAGAAAAAACATCATATTATATTGTTGGTCCACTCTACAATATACATGATTGTTAGATGGTAAAGTAGCTGCTAACCCCTCCATGCGCAAGACCAATGGCAATGATGGCTGCACTCTCCATAACCCACGACAATGGATTCCACATGAACCCCAAGAACTTCAAAATCTTGCTTTCCTGTCACCACAATATAATAGTTATTAAGACTAGTGTTTCCTCTCTGCCTTCCGGTCAAAAGTAACCCAAGGCCTATGTCACTTTTTATGGTAGTAAGTCCGCAAGATACTAGCTCATTAGATCAAACTTATCTTAAAATTTTGTATACTGATCTTGAATACGGTGGTGCCTACTCAGAACAAATCAATCTCAAATTCTTTGTATTCTTTAGTCTTATTTGGATCCTATCACATCAATACATGTAATTTCATCCTAAAATTTCAAGATCTAATATGCTTTACATTTAGTGCGTGACCTAATTACAACTAGGTTGAACCAGCTAATATAGTGAATTATTCTAGACTACTCCATATTGGTGAAAGTGATTAGATACGGATCCATTCTACAGAGTTTATATTACATTGTTCAACCCTAACACCGATTTTTACTGTGTGTGTATGTACGTAAACAGTACAACTGTTTAGAATAAGATTGAATCAGAAAGATAACGACGAAGAGAAAAACAAAATGGCGAAAAAATCGAGTACTTATGGTATACCTTTTTCTCTTCAAGCTTGTTCGGCCCGAAGACATGGAGTCTCTGAACAGCATCCTCGGTCGTCAACCCCTCTTTGGTGCAGCGCAGCTGTTGGAATACCTCGTTTATTGGGATCCTTTCCTGGACATTGTTATTTTATTTTGCACACACATTTAATTAAAATTATACATTGCACAAACGGATTAAAGTGAAATTAAAGCTCCTACATATATATTCAGTAATTGAAGCGATCAAGCGAACGTGAGAAAGTATCGATGAATACAGAACAAAGAAAGCAAAAAGTAGAAAACGTACAAGATCGACGTTCTCGTTCTTAATATCTTCCAGGGTGATGTTTGCCGCCATGATGATCTGCTTCCTTCAATTGAAGACTGTTATTGGAAAAGTCGAATCAATTATTCAGTGTAATGCTATATATGGATCATATTTATATATTAGGATCGCCGACTGAAGATCGATCGGAATTGGATCATTTAGGGACTAGGCTACTTTAATTTTGGCAGTAGTTTTCACGAGCATGTGGGAGCGAGATCAAGCAAACTTCAATGGCAATTTTTTTTTGCTAATAATTTTATTGAATTTTATTTTTGGAAAATACGGACTCCTTTTTTACTGGGGATATATTGCTTTTTGTGGAGTTTGATTTAGGGGATGTGATGATATATGAGCAGAGTGGAGAGAATGAATGAAGGAGCGAGAATTTTGTTGCCTGTGGTTCACTCTCTTACTATAGCTGCGCTGGTTCTGTTATTTTGCCCTTTCTTGCATGGCCTAATATGGATGCACGTTTTGCATGAACTTTAAATATAATAATAAATTAATAATGATGATTTGACTTCTTTTATAGTAATTTTCTCTTTTGGCTTTTTTTATGAATATTACTAGAAGAAAGACAAAAGATAAAAATGTGACTAATGTTTGGGTTTTCCAAAAATGTGACTTACTAATAATGTACTATTACTCCCTAATATTTAGGGATTACTTTGTAATTTCCATAACTCTATTTTATTATAAATATGATGCTAAGGCACCCAAGAGTGCAAACCATTATTTCCCAAATTCTATTGTTTTGTATACTAGTTACTCCACCCGTGCGTTGCACGGGATTGAAGTACATACATATATAAATATTTAAAAGCAATTATTTAAAACTATAAAAAAATTAATAGCAACCTAATTTGTTACGTAGTAAAAAAAGTATAATAAGATCCTAAATAAAGTGTCATTGTAATAACATAATAAGAAATAAATTTTAAAACTAAACGTAAACCATCTTACAATAAAATAGGTGTGCATGTATGTCCACGAAACTGTCCTGGAAAAATACAAATTATTACGTAATACTCCGTATGTAATTATTTATATACAACAATGACTTGGATGTACGTTCGTTTTCGCCATATATCATAAACTTTAATTCATATGATGTTGTAATTCTCCATTTTGCTTTTGAAAAAATGGATGCTTCCCCATTTGCATGAAAAGTTGGTAAGCTGCTTGTTTCATGTAAGAGAGGCCTATGAAAAAATTCTTGGTCTAATGAGGCAAACCTCTAGTTCTAGTTCTATCGGTAATAAGAATTAAAAAGTTACTTTAGATTTTTAAGGATGTTCTTACCTTAAACTTATTTATTAAATCATTCAAGACAGTGGACAATGCAGACCTTTCCTTAGACCAAGAAACAACACATTGACAAAGAAATCTTGGGTGCTTGCTCAGTTAAGCACCATACTACCACAACCTCAACTCACACATGGGAAAGAGTGTTTTCATTTCCAGGCATAGCTATAACCTCAAAATGTCAACCTTTTCCAATGATTTTCCCGGGCTCTTATTAATGCCTATTGCATAGCTAACATTAACGAATTGACTACGTTGAAAGGTGAACGGGAGCTAACATCTGATAGTTTTAAGAATAGTCTAGATTTTTCACTCGTGCGTTGCACAGAATGCAGTTAGCTAACAAACATTGAAATATTTGAAAAGAAAGAAATGTTACGATTAAAATAAAACATCACATATATTATTTTTCATAAAAGTAAATAAAGATAAAATCACTCGTACAAATTACAATAAAACTCCATGTTAACAACATTTAAAGCATTCTTTGAGCTTTGCGCTATCATCACATATAATAAATTTTCAATCTGGAATGAGACATTACTCTTGAGACTGCGACATAAAACTACCCATAGGTGAAAAAACCAGACGACATAAGAAAGCAACATCTCTCTCCCAAAAGTGTCCCACACTCTTGCTTGATGGTCCTCACGTAACTAAATATCAAATGGAGTTGTCTATGCTCAATAGTGAACGATAGCTTCTTGGGTCAAGCTATATTTGTTCCCGACATCAACAACCTCAATAATATAATATTATAGTAACTTCTTAAAGAAAAAGTTACTATAAAGAACCATTTTAGCTACTTTATATTTTTTTATTAACAAAATATAATTAACTATATTTTTTTTCTTATTTCATCATATTCAATCAATTCAATCGTTTCAGCTGGAATTTTATTAATTTCAACCAATTCAATCAATTTAAATACCACCAAATAGAAACATAGAATGTAAGATTTAAGAACACTTGGTTAGGGGTGGTTCGGTACGGTATACTGAATATTTTCTCTCATACCTTTACCGTACCAAAATTTTCGGTATGCAAAATTTATATACCGTTACCTTACCGAAGTTTCGGTATACCGCATTTCGGTATACCGAAGTTTCGGTTCGGTAACGGTACGGTATCGGTAAATTACCATGCATGTCTCCCAATACAACTCCGTCATGATATCATTTTTTTGGTATCATGCCTGTCCCAAGCCAGGATAAAGGAGGAGGGTGCTGTGGTAGGCGTGTGACGGCCAACAGTATCACCTAGTCACATCACATGACATGAATCGAAATATGAAGTGATATCATGTATCGATTCATGTTAGCCGACCCCAATATCTTTTGGGACTAAGGCTTGGATGTTGTTGTTGTTGTTGTGGTGTTACTAGTGACATATTTATTTCATTATTAAAATTTTACAAATATAATTAATAATCTATTGATGTTATACTCAATATTGAACAATAATTATTATTAGTATATTTAAGCAGTTCAACATGCCACGTATTAAAAAACATCACATTCTCCTAAAATAACTTGAACGATATAGATATAATAAATCAATAGTGATCTCTAACAATAATAAATAAAATTATTCAAACAACATGGATATAAAATTATTTATTCCTAATATTACTTCTGTCCCAAAATGTTTAGCCAAATCTCAAAATTTGGACCATGGTTTTGATTAGTATAATATTATGAAAGTTATAAATTTATACTTTTATGAAAGTACTTTTAACAAAGAACATTTTCATATAATTTTTATATTATAAATAATTTCCAATAAATATATATTAATCATCAAAGTTTTGGATTGACTAATCATTTTGGGATGGAGGTAGTATGATATTGTGCATTTAGTCATTTTTATATTTTATTAAAAAATGAATAAGACTTTCGGATAAAGTTGTGTGACTCGACTCGTGGAATCCCTATGTAGATACACATGTCACATAAGTGTACCTCTCTCCACTCATCAGCTACTCAACGACTCAATCATCGCAACTCGCAAGCTCTTGGAACAAGATGAACTTGTTTTTGGACATTAGTACATTACTAATTAGTCATAGGAGATTTGTAACCAATGTAAGTATTAATTTTGGGCTTCATAATTGTAATGGAGTTTTACAAAACTCTAAAATTAAAAGTAATAATTGTTGGGTAGGGAGTCGGTACGGTATTATACCGGTATACCGCGTTATTTGAAAACATTTACCGTTACCGTACCGAAATAAATCGGTACGGTATGATACCGTACCGAAAATGACGGTATACCAATATTCCGGTATTTGTCGGTATTTTTCGGTACGGTAAGTGCGGTATACCGATTTTCCGGTATTTTTGCCCACCCCTACACTTGGTAGTGATTCGAGTATGAAATGCGTCAAATACGGTGTAAATGCTTTCACAAATCACAAGCATTTGTTATGCCCCTCGAATAGCAACAACCTTCTATTCTTTCATTACATATAAAATTAATGTAGATGGTCTAAATTAAATAACCGACGCTGGAAAGTTCATGTTGGTGATGACTAAAATTGAAGTTCAAGCCTCAAAGAGTTGCTTGAAAATCGAGATCAGCAAGCAATGTATGCTATGTTACACCCCCCTACAGACTTGACTTGTTGTCGAGGACATCAAAATAATGATACTCCACAGCTTTCTTTGCTGAAATTTCATAGTGCAACATCTCCTGCATCACAAAATACATTATGCACATTGTTGTTCTTTTTAGTTTGTTGTTGCTTAATAAGGCCTCTCAGCCAAGTTGAAGACTCTAACCTCCAATGAAATAAAAAAAACTGACATGCCATCTTAGCCTAGATTAGGGACATCAAGATGAAAGTGATTGGGCTTTCTATCGAACATATTCATGCCAGTTCATCAACTTGCTCACTCCTGGCTATACTTTCATTTGGTGTACCCAACAATGTATGTGCATCGGTAAATAAATTAGTCCATATGACTTTCATTAAAAAACAACAAAGATATAATAATAGTAATAATAATTATTATTATAGTAGTAGTAGTAGTAGTAGTAGTAGTAATGATAATAATAATAACAACAGTAGTATTAGTATTATAAATCATTTCTGAAATTTTAATTGGTAGTATAGTGATTATTTTATGGATTATGCAACAAACATACAACATATCCGCTGTTGTTGCATAGTGAGTGGCACCCAGAAGAACCTCAGAAGATCTGTACCAAAGGGTCAATATCTGTAACAACAGTAGCATTAGTATTATAAATTATTTCTGAAATTTTAATTGGTACTAGTCGTTAAATCTCTGCACCGGAAATTCAAATGAGGAAACACAACTGCTTAAATCATTTCCATCTTTGCACACATCGAGTCACATATATGAACACCTTAAGTTTACCTGTGCAAAGCACCATGGCCATGACAGGAAACCATTCTTTTGCAAAGCTGCTAAAGCAAACTCTGTATTCAAGAATCCACACAACTCCTCAGATATATACGCATACTTCACGTGTATGTATACACTAAACAATGAGCTAAGCTAAATCATGACAGATGGATCAACCTTAACAGTTTGGGGTGAATGTTTTCTCTAATCTGACAAAAGGTACAGAAAAATTTCTTCAGGTCCATATCCATATATTCAAACACCAGATAGAGAACCTTCCTTATTTTGTCCTTGATTGACATCAACAAATCTGCTCGTCCAGTGAAATAATGACACAAACTCAATGAATAAACGTCAACCATATGTTACTGCTATTAAACTTGAAGCCTAATAAGGGCTTCAAGTTTCAATAAAAATATATTAAAAAGGGAAGTACATCTACCACTTTTCTCGGTTAGACCATACATCTAGTGTATGGTCTATATGTATGTTCTAACCGTAGCTCAGAACTACAATTTTTTTTAGGAGAGGGCTTTATTGTTATGGGAAAATGAGCACATAGTAGAACTGGTTGAACTGAAACGACATGCTACTTTACCTATCATCTTTCAACCATTAGAGAGAAATATGAAGTCTCACTGGAACCAAGCAGTCCATGAAATGACCTCCAATGTCTGGAAAAGGTTCCTGGAATGGATGTCGAGCATTTTGAGGATTGTCAACGTTTACAAA